CCTTTTTTCATATTTTGTAGTTAGTGTCAATAGTTAGTACTGCAGCATAGAAGAGCCATATTTCACGGAATGCTAACAAACCGTTATTATAAAACGTTAATCTTACCTTTGGCATGCTACCCATTTCACTGAGAAATTTAATCCTTCATAATCTACGTTAAAATTCTTCGTAATCCTTTTTTGGCTAGCTATATGTTACAAAAAGAGTTACTTCGAGTTGTTTCTAATGTAACGAAGCAATGCAATTTCAAATGCAACGAGAAGATTTCTACTTTTTTATCTCATAAAATACAGATACGGTCTTAAACACGCTTATAGAAATTCTCTAGTCAGTAGCTAGAGAAGAAAATATCTGAAGAATCCATTTTACTTTATTGCGAGTAGATGCAGAATAGTTAGATCTCGGCTTTTAATTATGACCATTATTTCTGACCTATTCATTACTGATGTTAAATTTTGTCTTAGAAAATTACTATTCATTATCAAATTATCATCAAATTTGCATGGCAAAGTCAGTTTCACTGAGCCAAACTGAACAGATGTCGATACTGCTTCTGCAAACCATTTTTGACTATTTAAAGTTCAGGGTAGGTGACCATGCATTCTTTATTTCGCTCCCACCCCAATACATAAACTATAGATCACCCAGAAAGATGCTATAATTGTCTCTCGCGAGAGTCATGTACTTACAGGGGGCATAGCAAGAGTAGCAAAAGTGTATCTAATCTACTTAAAGCCTTGAAATTACTAATCCTTACTAACAAAACAATAAAAAGCAGTACCAATTACTTCTGCTATTGTGAGTAATTGCATCCATAAACAAAGTTAATCCCTCTGAGACCAAAATCAGTGAATGTATTAAGGTTTAGATCCACTGTAAGTTACTCGGATTAGAAATGCTAGCTACACAGCAATTAATACTAAAGAGGACGTGAGGAAAAGAAGGGCAGCGATAAGCACTGGATACAATTTATTTTTTCAGCAGCGAGATCCTGTTTTGGTTTCGTTCCGATGTTGCATGTACACCATATCAACTTGGTACCTCCGTAAGACCCTCGGTTTCCAGAGGTGTCTTTCGGAAGCTAATTAACCATTTTTGGAGTTGATCAAGCTTGCTGTTTCAAGGTATTATACAAAGATTTGAATTATACAGTCTTTTTAAGTTTATCGGGAGCACCAGCCGGATTGCTAGAATTGTTACTGGTAGTTTTGATACTCCATAAACGGTGTGGGTCTCACACTGGTTTTCTTTATACACCCAAACTAACATGCTGTGTAATTCGACCACATGGAACTCCTATGTGATCAGCCTCTGGTGTAGCAATGAACTTTTTATATTTCCAACAGTTCTAAGTGCTACGCGAGAAAAAATAGTAAACGCAAGAACAGGGTGACACAGGAGAAAATTACGCGCAGATTTGAAAATCAAAGGGCCAGTTATTTTAAAAGCGGAGTTTAGCCAGTGTTTAACAAAACCGCGTTCTAAGCCATTTTCAGTTTGCCGAACGCTTTTAGGTAAACATCATTTATCGTGAACAGTTTCATTACAGCACTATACCGAGTGTAGACTAGAAAAGCATTTGTCTTCTAAAAATAACCCACTGAAGAATACATCTGGACGTCCAGAGATTTCCTAAACCGCGCTCTAAGTTAGACTTCGTTTAAGTAACCGACCCTAAAGGTTCGCGCCATTACGTTCAGAAAGTTTCAGAAATTAAAGTTGTCGTTTGAGACGATGTACGTTTTCTACCCTTTTTGGTCTCTAGCTAGAAAGGTCGCACTTTTAGCGGGTTCTTCTAAGCCAAGGTGGGATTCAATAGGCCCTTTACGGCTCGGAGTCATGTGAATACAGCTCTAAAAATACAGTTTACATACCAGAGATGGAAAAAGTTGAAAAAACAAAGAGTGGGTCCGTAATTGTTTTGATTTTAAACTCTGAACAGTCTGATTCTATGGTGGTTTGAATAACGGAGAAAACACTAATAACAATCAATGGCAAAAGTCACATTCTACCGTATACGCTTCCCGGCCAAGCACGTAATTATTTTTCCTATACTTACGCAACTCCTCAGAATTTTGCCGACTTTCCTACAATGATGAAATCTTAACTTCTTTTGTGAGCGACCTCAAAATTTGCTTTCTGGCTAATCTTTTATTCTCTTTCCATACATACCTTCGCATAAGGCGGGTCACGTGACTGCGAGCTGCAACAGCCATGTTCATGCATGCGCATTTCAACCGCTGGCACTATTATATTTTGGAATTTTTTTTACTATCATTGTACTGTTTCAGCTATTGCAGCAGTCCTAATAACTGGTCCACTGCCAATATTTCCTCTCATACACACGTATGAAGAGTAGCCTGTCGTAAAACCATCGTTATATACCTTCAAACAGGACCAAAATTTTCCACCTACATTGAGGGACAAAAGCGTTCATACACTTCAATAAAATGGCCCTTTTTTGCGTACTGGACAGATCTATCTTCTGCCCCTGTGTATCCCAACCCCTACCTCCAAACCAACGTTATATTTTAAACCCTTAAGTCTTTATTCAGTATAGGGGGTGCCAGGTGGTGTTAGGGGGGGGGGTGCAGACGGCTGACATTTGACACTAACAACATTGAGTCGGAGTGGGGGTGGGGGTATTGACGGCATTAAAACGACTGAATTAAATGATAGATGAACTAAAGTGTTAATAAAAGGGCGCGTTCTAGAGAAGTGTGTCAACTACTTTCGTCACTGGTTGTAGAAGTGTAGGTACTTAACTATTTTAAAGGACATAAAGATCAGCAATTTTTTCTCCGTTTATAAAATCAGTGATTCTTTCTTCGAACACCACAAAAACCGACGAAAATCGTTGAGTATAGGACCTGATTTACATGTTAATGCTCAAAGGCTTAAAGGAAAGTATTGCATGGAGTTGCAAATTAAACGACCTGTTCACCGCTTCTATCAGTTGTTATAATTTTCCTCAATCGGCTGTACATGCTCTTTCTACAACAGTAGATTTTGTCTAGCTGTAGAAACCCCCCGACGTGCCGACCTACTTTACACTAGTTCAAAGAGGCGATTTTCTTAAAAAATACTTTCATCCGGCCGAGGAGACTCCATCTGTATTTTCGTTGGCTTGTGTTTTTTTTGCAGCACTTATTAGCATTCATTGCAGTTAATTTACGTCTGCTATTGTTATTTCTAATGTGTAGTAATACTAGCAATTTAAAAGAGACAACATTATTGGCAGGGCATCTTTCGAAAACAGCCCTATTGTTCAAGAACGTTAAGAGTCACACACTATAAAAAATTCCAAATATATTGTCAAGAAGTCTAAACATAAACTTCAACGCAGCGTCCGTGCCACCAGCTGCTTTTAAACCATATAGTATTGAATTACTTTGCAAATTGCTGAAAATTTAACGACGACTGTTTGAAAAAGTTCACTGAGAGGAAAGCCACAGAACGCCGGCTAGTCCCCGTTAAAACTGAACGGTTCATCTTCGCAGTGGATTATACGGCGAAGCGATTCGTTTTTCTGTAAGGACAAAAAGAATCGGCCAACTCGCAGCAGAATCATACACAATGGCTAAAAAATGAGCAAAACCGTGGAGTATGTTGTCGAAGGTAGGTGGTGGTTTTAAGAGTTGAAAATACTCTTCATTTCACGTCGGATCAACTGAGATTTTTGCTTGCGAGTATCAAAAACTAATGTGGCGTGTTCGTTGCGAGGGTAACTCACCCCAAAAAGCTAGGGCAATATCTTTCGCAGGATAACCTACTGTAATATCGCAAACATCGTTTCAATTATTGATGAAGCACTCGGCTCCAAGTGCTATGTGAGCATTTTCATTTCCATTTCTGAACGTTTTAATTAAGATTTTTCCTTTATGAATTTTTTTCATTATTTTTTATTTTTGATGATATTTTGTTAACACATATCTTATTTTATCTATTCATTTATTTCTGTACATGTACGTATTTATTTACTCAGTTATTTTACTGTTCTTTTTCATTGAAAACGGCTCCGCAAAAACCAGCGTTGTGACATAGGTGCCTGCCCCGTCCAAATATGTTTATTAATATTTTATCATTTTTTTTTTGTTATTTTTTCCATATTCAGCGACCGACAGTTTATTGTAATTAAGGAACAATTTTTCCTGAAAAAAAAAAAAAATCATAGAATCAGAAACACAAACGCAGAGTATGAAAACAGCGGAACGAATATTTTTCCTTGACTGAATTTGCTTGGTTTCGCTTTTTTGGAGTAAATAATACTTACATAATCAAAACTTGAGCCTGCTGTGCATTTTATTTACTTGTGTAGTGGGAGGTTACGTAATAAAATTTCTCATATTTTGAACCGGATCCCCCTAATTTCGAAAATTCAAGAAGAAAATGATAAATACATGCATAAAAACATGTCATAACTCAAGTAATAGGAGTTTTGTTGTATGAAGAGGTATTTTGTAGATAATTAGTTAACGATAAGTTATTTTCGTGAGCGTTGGCTGCTCTCTGAAGCGATCGTGGAAACCAAATAAATCAGAGATAACAAAGAACGCGGCCATTCGCTTCGATGGTGATTTTTGGCTGGAATTTTTTTGCGTATTGTTGAAATCTGCGTTCTACTTTGCCAATAACTTTTGACTTTTTCTACTGAAAGACAATAAGAAAAGAAATGTCTGACTGGGTTATAATAGTTTTCTCCAAACAATTATTACTTTTAGCGAGGTTATAAACAGCTGATCTCTAGATAGCTCAGCGGGGCTTAACATGTTCTAATAGAAATATAGTTTTTACACTACCAGATAAGAAAAACTGTAATAAGCCACGCTATTGGCCAACCCAAGCGCAGTACGTGCTGTGCAGTGCTTCATAAAGTCGCGATCTATCGGCGGCAATCGCGTGAAACCGACCGCTGGTTAAAATATTTCGCAGTTCACACACTTAATGAGGATTAATGCCTTCCTTTGGAGTAAGAAATTAACATTCTAACCGATTCCCAATGGATTTCTCCGCAGAACGGACGCAATCAGCGAAAGATAAGATAGAGTTAAGGAACATCACGTTCACCGCAGGAATGGACAGCCACCGTCGCACAAGCTGTGCTGTACAGCCGGGCAATCCTACAACTAACTCTGCCGTGGAGAAGGCGGGCATGAGTCGTAAGAGAAGTACGGGTCAAAAGCCTTGTAACAACGGACTAGAGAAGTTCGACCAGACAATACAATCTTTTAAGGACACGGATACAGCGAAAAAGTATTACAAGCGGAAAACGAAGATGCTGTCTAGCGCGGCAGTAGTGATGGGTATTCTTGCAGTTGCTCTGGCTCTTTTAGACATTGAACTTACGATCCGAGGCACAGACACGGCCCAGGATCTGTCACCAATGGATTTGTCTGTGATTTTGAATAATCCCTTTCGACTTTCAGCTGCGGTCGTCAAGTCCTCGCTAAGTGTGTTATCGCTCCTGACCTCCATAACTATTTATCGCATGAACGTGAACGAGCTTAGATACTTAGTCGTCAGGAACATCTACCTCAGGTCAGAGAAGTTCGTAATGACTTCTCTGTTTCCGAGTTGCTTGGCGGAAGTGGCTATTTGCCTTTTCCATGTCCCTCCTTTCTTAGACCACTACGGAATGCCATACGAACTTCAACTGCTGGTGTTTTTAAGGTTATATCTAATCGCCAAATACGTGAAAGAACACAACATGTTTGTGGACAATCAGGCAACGGCAGTCTTCGCTTCAGTGACACAGACAGAGATTTCATCGGTGTTTTTGGTGAAGGCTTATTTTCTCAAGTTCCCATTTAGGCTGATATTTACATTTTACCTTCTCAACATCTTCTTAGGCGGATATTTTGTGTATGTTATTGAAAGGACCCACAGTACTTATTTGGTAAGTACAAATAGCTGATAATTCCAGTACAAATACAACTTTATTGGACAGTTCTAGTAGTACGGAAGTGTCATTGGCCACATAAAAAAACATTTACCAAAGAATATATTACGGACGTGTTTGGTATAAATAACCTCCAGTCTTTGCTTCGACCCTATTCATCCATCGTCTGTTTTTTCCAAAACTTTCTCGACTACATCAGACAATAATTTTGAGAGTTCAATAGCTCTCGCTTCATCATTGATTCAGGATGATTTTCTTTAATCAGTTATTTACACAAAAAGCAGTGTTTTTAAGCTAAGATCAATTTCAACCCTTTTGACTTTCAATTCACAAATAAGTCTGTGTTGAACTCTGATAGACGCGTCGGCTTTCAATAGTACAACACGTACAAAATCGGTTAAGCGTGATATCGTCTCACTAACAGTGGATTTGTACAGCAAATTCTCGGTATAGAATACCTTATTTAGGATAGATAGGTTTTGCATAAACACTTCGTGGTTTTGGAAGGTGCGAAATGTTTTTATCTCGGTAATCGCGAAGCATCCACCACAGCTTGAGTAAAAGTGATTAAAAATTGAATAGCACTTCATGAGCGGACCTCTATTATAATACTAATAGGCTTTTTGTCGTAGTCCGCGTTACTTTTATTTTCTTAAACAAAGGTCTCCCTGCAAATTAACCCATCGACCCACGCGTGGCAAACAGAAACGTTCCACAGCCTCTGTGACATGTGAATTCTTTTTCTGTGCGACCTTTTTTTATTTGACGGTCAAGCTATCGCGAGTTACAAGCATTTTATGCGTCTGTCAAAATGTGGACAAACGAAATCTATCTACATTCTTAAATGTCAAAACAACAGAAACAGCTCGGCGGCAAAGCGGAAAACTGATTAGTTGATATCGGTTCTTCTAATTCGTCGCATAATAATGAACAAAAAATTTCTTTTTGCCTTTTACCTTTATAATCAATTTGCAATACTAAAAAGAGTAGAAAGTTTCAGTCTAGGAAATTCCAAAAACAAAGTTGAAGATAGCTTTATTTCTAGTTCGGCTTTTAAAACGCAAATAACGCTGGCATCAGAATTGAGATTTATGCGACAACTTTTTTGGGCTAAGTGATCTAAATTAAACTATTCACATAACATCGTATGTCGATGTCGAGAAAAGCCGTGTATAGTTGGAAAAAATAAACTGAAACTGTTTTGTCTGAATTTTTTTTAAGTGACTTTTTAAAAATTCTAAAAAAGCGGTACATGAAACACATGAAATGACCTTCAGGTTATGTTTTTCTTTTCGAGAGAGTTAGATTAAACTTAACTTGTACCGACAAAAACTTTAAACTGAATGTCATACTCTGACCTTCATGCATTTTAACTAGTCCTAGCTCGGCAGGATATGTGCTATTAACAACGTGCTTTCTATCACAAAAAGTCTATCCTCTAACATTCATGACCGGCGTAATTTTTCACGACGGAGTGAAAACATCGCTAAACTTTATTATTGTCGACTTCTCACGCATCTAGGTTAAGAATAACATTCAAATGAACTCGTTGTTAAACTGAAAAAGCTCAGAACATAGCATTCTTCTCATTAGGTAAGAATAAGCGGACAGTAAGAAATGGAGATTAGCAAAACAACAACTGCTTTTCACTCTAAAAGCCTTTTTTGTTTCCTTTCTTTCGCAAACAAAAGCAAAACGGTGACAACGAAGTCAGCTAAGAGAAACTGTGTAAATTACAATAGACTAAAATATCTGTTGTCTCTTATTTATGAAAGTGATCGCTTTTCTTGGTTGAAAATTTCGAACTTCATTACGTAACTAGCTTTGACCACAATCATTCAACATAAACAGTTATAATGTTATTGTGAAGAGTCTTCGCCAGAACAGAAAACTAGAACTTCGTCAAAGCGTAGAGAAAAACACAAACAACATGGAATCTGAAATATGTTGCAGATAATGGACCATTATTACATCAAACTGCAACTTGTAGCGAACGAAAACAGAAGAGTTCGAACAACGCGGTCACCCTTGGATATCTTATCTAAGAGTTGAATTGCAATGAGTTGTAACGTTTATCAGCAGGGTTTAGCCTCAAACTGATAAAATGCCATTCTGTTCATTTAACCTAACGCCATGCGAATTTCCGACACAACAAACAGCATGAAATGTAGTAGTATTATAATAAGTGTTTTATTAAAATAGCAACCCTCCCAGATAAAAACAGGTCAAAGAAGATTTTAATTTTGTTGGTCCGCTAATCTCAAACGACCTACTGCAGTTCTACTAATCCCTACACAGCGCTCTCTACACAGATCACACAAATAGTAGACATATATGTATATCTGTAAAAAGAAGGAACTTTATTGAACGTGAAACACGAAAATAATGCGCGACATGGTTTTTCGCGATGCGCTAATTACTTCTTTTCATAACACTTCATTCTACTCCCAGTAGCTGTGGCCCACGTCAAAATTAAAAGCAAAAGATATTTTTTATATAAAATTCAGGAAATCCTGATAAATAAACAGAACAACGCAATAATACTGTTTAAAAGGTTTAATTTGAATGATAACATGTACTACTACTTTTGATCAATTTCTGCTGTATAGTATTGAAAAACGTTCATTCGAATCCTGCTTAACTAATTGTGGTCATATTCTTGAAACAGCTGGTTACCATAGCAACACTGTCACCTGTTCAAAGCTCCCTTAATTTTAGCTTTAAGGACTTTTATCCCCCTGACAAAATATTCTTGCATGCCTATTTTAATGTAGCTGAAGTACTGATAAAGTAGCGAAGCATTCTTAAGGGGTGCACAGAGTTAACTGGATAAGTAATCGAAAACTTTCACTTCGATTATGTTGGTCTGATCGCATGTTTTTTCAGATATTTATCAGAGTCTTTTAATAAAATGATAGCTATACCTAATTTCAAACCTCGAATTCTGGCAGTATTTTCGAAAAATATTGGCCTTAATTCGAGCAAAATAGCCAGGACTTGAAAAATAATAGACATTCCTTAATTCAATTCCTCCCTACTCATTAAAACGATCTAAAACGGCTGTACGACTAATTAAGTGCAAGAATTGGTGGAAAAGATGGTGCAAGAACTAGTGGCCAAGTCTGATCGCTTTTATAGATGCTACAAATAACCAGTACCTACACCCAAGGAAATGTGTCATAAACAAAACAAGGAGGCTCAATACTATTTTCTAATCGTTCGAAAGACGACTGATATCATTCACACCACTAAATGGCATAGGAAACATATTTAAGCCCTCAAGGGGAGACTTTAAATAATTAATAGTTATTCCTTTCCAAGTTTCAAGCTGGAACTGCGACAATCTAGTCCACGATGTCTGTCTAAATTCAGCACTCTTCAGCTTTCTACAGAAGTACCCAAAATGCGCATATTTTTGGGTAGAGGTTGTTTCCTTTTTAATAACAGGTTGTTGCGCCTTTAAGGAAGGCATGGCCTATTCTATTTTGACATTTGTTTTAATTACGACGGGAATCGGACTGTGATTATTAAGCTCAAATGAAGCCGGGTCAGGTTTTTAATCAACCCCGCCACTGACTTTTCGTCAAAACAAATTTAACCCGGTTTTCGTTTTTATAGAAATACGAATTTCAATTCGTGTTATTTTACATAGGTATATGCATTTGAAGGCGAAATCAACACTTCACACCTGCCAGCATTGGGCATAAATTAGCAAGTAAAATTAAGGATGATTTAAAGTTGAAGATGAAACAAGGAAAATTCTATTTAAGAGTCAAGAGACGACGTTTTCAAACAGTAAAAATGACAATAATAATCAACTGGATCGAGAAAGTGGCGAGATTCCTGTAATTTTTCCTGCGCAGTTCATGGCCCAATAAAGAAAACCTTCTAAGAAGTAAAAGTTGAAATAATGTCCAGCATATGAAGGGCTGACCCAACCGTTAATCGAGATCACCGGGTTGCTAATTACGACGGATCAAAACTCCGTTCATTCTTACGGACACGTTCTTTTTTCACTGCCATCCGCTTTTCATTGGCCTTGATCGATGAGGAATACGTATTAGGGAGCTTTAGCATCGACGACGGCAACGGCAGTGAAAACGTCGCTTTTAAAATGAATTCCCGTTTTTCAAACACTGTCGCGTTTATTCCAATTTGATGAAAATGGCAAATGTAGGCGAATTTCCCTCGAGTTGATTTCTTGAGGAGCGCACTCAACTTTAGAGAGGGGAAATTAAAGAAATTCGTCGTCGCTCGTTTGCGTCCTCCATAAAACTTGCAATTAGGCATTTTTTTCGTAGTCGTGCAAGGACGGTAAAGAAATGTACAAAAAAGCGTGATGCACGTGCAAAGTTGTTGTTTTGCGTAATAAACCTATTGCTTTTTTGACGTCCTCGTTGCCGTTTCCAACGCCGTCGTCGTTGCTAAAGCTCCCTATTTAAATCAAGTTTCGGCGAGAGGAGTTGGTGTCTTCGCCACACTAACACCTTAATTTTTATCTCACATTGATCATAACTGAAGGGCGCGTTTGCTTTTCTCCTTTTTTGCCTTTAATTGAGTGCGTTTTCTGGAAGAAAAGCTGTTGTCAGAAAGTCTAATCGAAGATCTGAGTGGGCGACAATAAAAAAACCACCGACAAGAAAAAAAACGACTTGAGTTGTCCTAAGTTGGGTTTTGGGAAGGAAAAGTTAAGTCGCTTCTTGTATAATTTGTCTTTGCTGTTTTGCTATTGTAGTTGATATGTACTAGTTTAATCTGGATGTCGTCAAATTATAAACTGAAAGTTTCACCGATCTAAATGGGGGGCTGTCTGGACGACACTAACCGCTTAAATTTGATGAACTTTTAGTTTAGCACCTGATAGGGAAAAAAAGACTAATCGAGATCTTTCTCCTTTAGACAGATGAGAACTTTGTTAATAGACTTGACCTTTCTAGAAGTTAAAAAATGAAAACGCCCCCGGGATGAAGATCCAACCTCAGAGCCATCTTGAAAACACAGACTTATTTTGACTTATTGCTCATCATTGGGGAGTACCCACGCTGACAAGTTTTCACACAGATCTTTGAATTGTGAACTTTATCAGCTGCATGCATTTTACGGTCGATTTTTTTTAACAAGGAGTTTCAATTCGCACTATTTCTAACACTTTGAATGTCTTGGGAATTTTTGCTTGGTTAAATTATACAATACGATAACACTAACCACTAAAGTTTTGACATTTATGAAAATGGCAAATAACGCAGTAAAATAATCAACATTACTTTGTAAAGAAAATGTCATTAACAAGTTACAGCCAATGACATTGAGGCAAGTCGTTATTACGCAAAACCTAAAGCTTCAATATCACTCCAAGCTCCTTTAATTGCCTGTCTATAAGGCTCATTTTCTACTGGAATAAATTTGTTCTAGCAGCAGGTGAAACCGTTTATATTTGCTTGATGACTCGCTTATTTACCACCTCCATAACAATCACCATATTTTTCGAAATATTATAATATTTTACTGAAAATGACCCGCAATGAAATTTCTACATCTACAGGACACCGTCTGGATGCTTGTCGTTACCATGACAACCCTCGGCTTTGGAGATGTTGTGCCTAAAAAGCTACTAGCTCGCGCTTTTGTGGGCTTCGCCTCCGTGTTGGGAATATTTCTGATGGCTTTATTTATAAGCGTCGTGCACGAAGCCCTTCAACTAAAGCAACAAGAGAAAAGGATTTTGGCAACCATGGAAAATGCAGGTAATTTTTCAAACGACTTTCACGTTCATGATTTTTAAAATTATGTTAAGGAAAGTGATCTTTGTGGGCGAACATTTAGTTTTGCAAAGCTAATACTTTGGCTTGGTGTTCTAGATTTGCAACTTTTCATTATTACTCTGTTTTGGTGAAGAATCACAATATATATACATATTTATTTGCGGTCTGTGCAACTTCCCGAGTCTTTTAACACAGCATTTTAGGGTAAACAATCGAGTCACAGTTAGCAAGTTAGTCATCATTCTCTGGCCACTTGCTAACAGAAAAACACGTGCTTGCTATTTTCTCGCCACTGAGCATCTACTTAACCTGCTGAACTGGTATTCACGGTTTTTTCACCTCCCTACCCTTAAAATTCATGGAAAGGAGTAAGAACCTCGAAAAATCAGAATCATGACAGAGTCACAAGATAATATGTATCTCTCTTCAGAACATCTAAGCGGGAAAAAGAACCTGGCTGCCACTTGCATACAGAGCACATGGAAACTGTATCGTTTCAAGAAAGAGAACGCGGACACAATCGAGTGGGGCGACTGGTTCAAAACTCAGAAATTTAGGAGGTATGAGCACAAAATGGCTGAAGACATACGAAAATGGAGATTTGTACGAAGAAGTTGGTCACGAGGTAGGCTCACTACAACTTTCAAGCGCCGACCAGCAACGGTCGAAATATTGTTAAGCGATGCGCTCATAAACTCCTGTTACTCCCTAGTTAACACTCTTCACCTCTAAATCAACAGATGACTACTGGAGAAAGTTTTTTTTGGCCGACGACATCGCCATGTTGCTGACCGATGTTTCTAGAAGTGTCGGGAACGTGGAATTGTTCCTTCAGAAGCAAACTGGTGTCCGTCGGATTAGTAAAAGCTCGTTTAAAAGAAGCAGCAGCAGTGTTGAATCACCGCCGCCTATTCTCGAAGTAAGTTGTCTCTTATTCTCAAGAAACGTTTTCAAACCTGTGGTACAATCCAAACTAATTCGTCTAGCCAATCATATAGCTCAGACGCAGTTTCCAATCTTGTCATTGAATCCAATTTAAGCCTTCCTAATTTCGCTGGCCAACCGTAGCAGAGACGAAGACCCAAATTAACCAATCATAGCTCGAGCTAAGCACGAGAAGAACGAATTTCAAATCTGTCGAAGAATCCAAACTTAATTCCGCTAGCCAATCGAAGAAGAGAAAGAGACTCAAATAAACCAATCATAGGTCGACGAAAGCGCGGGAAAACGCGTTTAGGCAAGTTATGATAGGCTTCTCCTGTGATTGGATAAGAAACTGGAAGGAATTGTTTTTCTCGCCAATCAAGGAGCGAAGTTGGAGTGTAGCAAAGTAAAGAAAGAGATAGAGACTCAAATTAACCAATCACATCTCCAGAAAAGCGCGGGAAAACGCGTTGGCACAAGCCACGATTGGCTTACCCTCTGACTGGTTAAGAAAATGGCGTAAATTGCTTTCTAGCCAATCAATGAGCGTAGTACAAGGATTTGCTTAAGTTTTGGAATTAATTATTGCGGTTTTAGTAGTTAAAATATTTGGAAGGCTTCTTTTTTACAATGTTTGCACCATTGTAATTACATGAACAAATTAAGTATTGATACTTATTGATGGCTTGCAGGAAGAAAATACTAGTTCACACGGGGAATCCCAACATAAAGACAGATGCAGAAAAGTTCATGCGGTTCTAGTTGATCCTTGGGCTCGGCAAACAAACTTTGCACAAAATCAGCGACCACTATCACCCAGTTCATCTACTCCACTTCCAAACCAACTTCAATTTGTCAATCCGCTTGACAAGTGTACAAATGGCCATAGAAATCACGTGCCCTACGGCAAATTTATGGACGTTAACGACAACAGCCGGGTCACATTCCGTACGAGAAAGGAGAGTGACCCTATCGACAGAGGAGAAATCCCCGCTGACGCATTACATGGGAAGATTGAGTCGCTAGAGAACGCTTTAGATCAGATTTACCGACGAATGAAGACCGAACTTAGAGACGTTCGCGACTCGTTAGCTAGTTTAAGTCCTTTACCGTCTTCCAGAGCTTTCAGTTATTCTCACGGCTTTGGGTATCAACGAACAAAAGAACACGCTGATGTATGAAGACCTTAGAGAGACATGGGTAGTGCGGGCTTAGGGTTGATCCCTTAGAGTTAAAAACTCGATTCTCAACAGATTCAGCATAGAGAAGCTAAAAAAACAATGAAACTGTTTCAGAAACAGTAGCAAAAAAGAAAACACAAAAGCAGCAACTGTGACGACGTATCTTTAAACGTATCAAAGATCGCGTTTTAAAGGCGACCCTAGCCGTAATACAGAAGTGGGGTAAGATGACCCCCCTCCCCTCCCCCGCGGGGCGCCGTAAGTAACAGTGATAAAGAAAACTACAGAGTAGATCAATTATTTCTCTATAGCTTGAGTCAAAGTGGACTGTTAAATTATGGTAAGGGGCAAGGAGAAGTTCAGGGACATAATTGGAGCGCCAGTCTCTCTCTAGCAGTAACATTTTAAGATGAAAAGTTCTTCTGCAATGGACAAGTTTAAATAATTATTATAGTTAATTGTAACAATATACAATATATTTTCTATCATGGATAGTTCCAGAGGAGAAGGCTTTAAAACAAACTAGACCAAAACAAAAACTCTCGATGCATGCAGAATTCCGGCGCTCACACGACGTTTAGTTTCCAACTTTTGATAGCATCTTTGCGACTTCGGATTTCCGTCGCCTTTACTACGTCAGAATGTTGTTAAGTTCGCGTCCTAATGGCGAATACCATCAGAAATCTATTGGAATTTATTTTTCAAATAATTTCCACCAAAAATTGTATTTAACTACTTAAGGTAGCCCATCCCTTCCGGTTGAACTTCCTGTGGCAGAAAGATTATTTCCCATACATTTTGTTCTGCTCTCGTTAACCAAAATATCTTGAGTTTATTCAGGGCATATCTCGTAACAACATGCGTGACGAGCTCAACTTCTTTCAAAAGTGTCTTTGCGCGATGTAGTCTGCTACACAGGCGTTTTTAGTGTCGTCACGCAACGCTCCTCCCCACAAACAAGTGGGGAGGAGCGTTGCGTGAAGACTCTAAAAACGGCTGTGTAGCAGACTATGCGCGATGGGAATGAAATTTATCCGCACATTCACAATTCGACCCTGCCACAGAGGTCATGGTGGTGGACTGCCTTTATTATCAAGCAATTTCAAGTCTCCCAACCATTTCTAAAAGAAATCTAAGAAGTTCAGTAAGCAGAATTTGATAGTTAACATTGGGATGCTCGGGAGTTTAGAAGCTTTCTATCTGTAATGTAGGTTTTGGTAAAATTTTCTTAAGGAAATGTCGTTGGCATTATTCACAGTAGTGACTTTGGTATCTCGTTGTTACACTCATGTCAGCTATTTGTCAGCGAAATGAAACGCTTTTAAATTTACCAGTAAACGTTAAAAAAAACTTAGTTTTCCTGAGAAAGTCAAAATGATAACATGCATAGCGCTATTTTTATGGATAATTCCTCTAAATTCAGGAGTATTTTATCGAACCAAATGTTCATTAATTGTATATACTGTATATTAGACAATAAAATCATTGAGAAAATTATTTTCCAATGCTAAAGGAGTTTTTGCGACATTGTTTCCCTTGGGGTATCCTCTGAGATATTTTTCTCGTACCAAGGCCCACCTGGAACCTAAGAATGAGAACCACGTGACTCGCACTCAGGCCCAGCGGGTTGAGCCAGGCAGCCTCTAGTCTGGCGCGGTGAGACAATAGACTGGCAAGAAAACAATAGACACTACGAATTCCACTTTTATTAATCCTTTTTCCCAAGAGTGATCATCATCAGTTTTCTCCCAACAATATCAGTACATACTCAACAGAAAAGGTTACGAGAATTAAATAAAATGATCACTAAAGGGAAAATGCTTTGATCTTTTAAGAAACTCTCTCAACTTATTTTATTAGAATTGTATGAAGGGCAGTCTTGAGAATTTGCTAGTGGATACTGGGGCTGAAAGGGTTAACGACTAGGTTAAGGTTGCGTTTACTGATGGAATTCCAATATTTTACACCTAAGCTGCTAGTAGCTATTCGCGAATTTGTGAAACTGCACATATACGACAAATACATTAGTTCTGTGTCATGAAAGATATTAATCATCGTGGATAATGTGTATAAAGGGTTTAGTTTTATCGTTTGGGCCACGAGTGTCATTTTGATATTGATCGCAACGTTTCGACCGCACCCTGCAGGTCTTCATCAGGCGATAGTGTCGATTTACTGAGTCGAACTATTTATACTACCATGGTTGTTAGTGATTGGTGTATCACAAACCTCGCTCATGGTTGGTGGGTTTCGATCCGAAGCATTGTTGGCATTGTGAGAGGACGAAACTGATCCCTCGGCGGTCCGCTATGGTAGAGGTGGGTGCCAACAATGCTTTGGATCGAAATTCACCAACCACGAGCGAGTTTTGTGATACATCAATCACTAACAACCACGGCGGTACAAATAGTTCGTTAAATCGACACTATCGCCTCGCGATCAATATCAAAGTGACGATCGTGAAACAAACAATAAAACCAAACCCTTTATACACATAACTTCTAGTTCTAATAATCTATATCTCTTGTTACATTATTTAAAAAAAAAATTCATCTTGACAATGATCAGTCTTTAAGACTTTGCAAGGATTAATCAACATTTAAATTTTAAGGGCAACACACGTAGCCGAATTTTGCAAAATTGATTTCTCTTTGCGGCCACTTTCACACTAATTAAGAATAACTAAGTGCTCCATTTACAATCAAGTGATAGGTTCGTTAATAAGGTAGTTAAGAGCTACCTTATTCACCGCTAATCGTGAAATAATTGGGGACTTCTGACATATGAAATTAGGTCAGTACAGCACATCAAGACATAGACGATATAGCATTTTTTCGTCCCTATCGCAGTTCTGTATTTAAAGGGAACACCTCTTTTCGCAGAGGCTCTTATATATGGACTTTAGCTTGTATCCTTATGAATTCACCATAACATGACTAAAGGGCGAGGGATGAAGCTCGGCCCAAAGTTTGACTTTTTTAAAATTCAGCTCAATCTTGTGCGCAACTAAGGTGGACGATGGGGGAAAAACGTGCGCCAAATACCACGAGAACTTCGAGTAGAGGGTGGAATGTTAAATTTTGTACATTACAGTGTTGTTTAAAACAACAACACAAGCAAAAAATAAATAAAACCATTATCAAAAATCTATAAAAACAGTTGATTTGGAAAACCTCTCCTCAAGGAGAATTTATTTGAATTAAGAACACCAAAAAATGAAGTGAACGTTTTTAACGGCCTCCGTTTTTCGCTTTGCGCACTTAAGAAGGTAGGACTTCGTTTTCAATTGCCTCCGCTATCTAAAGGGGTGTGCACGGCGCTTTTGACGCTCTGTGTTTTCAAACGTAAAAATATGTATTAAAGCAGACGCAAGACCAAAACGTTTGAAAAGACGTCAGATTATCGAGGACGAACCACTCTAAACCTTACTGGTTTCAGCTGTTTTTTTTTTCGATAATAGTGACGAAAGTTTAACTTTGTCCTACAACATCACTGCTGCATGAGCATCGAGTGCTATTTTGAAAGTTAGCTTCAACATAGCGCGGAGAAAAGTAAGCGATACGTCACCATTCGCTGTCACTCGTTACCTGTCTCTACTTTGCTTTCAAATGTTCTACGGTTAATTTTTTGCTATTTAAAGTCGTTTCTACATCTTTTGCTTGGCGACTGTGGGGTCTATAAATTAAGCCCAAACCACCTTTGTCATCACCTCCACACTTCTTCATTCAGGTTTGGCATTTTCAACCAAATGCATTAACCATTTAGCGTGTTCATTTAGCGTACAACTAAAACGTTAGATTTTCAAACAAATATCTCTTTTATCCAAAGCGAAGAAGCTTTTGGCATAGCACGAAGATCGTGACGGCGCCTTCACTTTTTCGTTCCATACGTTCTCACTACTGTGACGTACCTCTGTGGGGTGGTGTAAAGAAACACTTTGTCACGCTCCCAGAGAAGTGGTGTAACATATCCTTACCGCACGTCAGGGTGAAGGTGAGGCAGCTGGTGTTCGTTTGTTTTCAGGATCACTTTCCTCTTCGTAAACCAGTGTGGGTCTCAGAGAAGCTCGGGTGAGTCCCCAGAACTTACTGGGATTTAAGCCTCGCTTGACGGACGTAAAACGCCAACCCAGATGGTTTCCGCATTGACCACACTCGGCTATAGTCCATGCATACCTTAAATGAAGAAAAACGAACCCTGTTTGTTTTTGCGAAATGCTGATTGGCGGAGATGACACTGATAATGACGTCATTACCCTTGGCACGTGTTTTTCAATGTTTGTTTACGTTCGCGCTCGTTTTCGCTTCGCGCTGATTGGCAGAAATCTGACAGCTCAGTCGACGAGGAGTCACAGGGACCTAGTTGCAAGCTCTCCTACCTTTTCCCGCCTCGCCACCAGAGCGCCCCGAAGAGCTTGCTCGCAGGTTATTATAGAGAACTCGTTTCAACGTGTCCGTGCGTTCCAGATCGAGTTGAATTTTGGAAGTGTTGGTTTTTTTAGGACAGGGGAAAACCCGAGTACCCAGAGAAAAACCTCTCGGAGCAAGGGAGAGACACAACAACTAACTTAAACCACATATGGCGTCGACGCCGGGATTTGAACCCGGTTCACACTGGCGGGAGACGAGTGCCCTCACTACAGCACCACCCTTGTTCTCCAACGTGTCAGTCAATTCTAAATCCAATTTAAAACAAAAAAAAAATGCACCTCCAAAAGTCCACCTTGGTTGGGTCATCGGTCAGGAGGTATTGGAGAGCTTTAGATTCTGAGACGAGGACAATTACGAGTAAGAGATTTTATCAATCTTGAGTTTTGCTCACGCGTGAACCAGCGTCATTTTGGCGGGAAAACGTGATAGCCGTTGTCATTCTTCTACGAGTTTTAACGAGAATGTCGTCGTGATGGGAACAAGTTTTCAAATGTAAGAAGTTTTGCTTTCAGGAGAGGGCGTAACCTCCTTCAGTATAAATAACCGTACTAATGTTTTGGCGAAAAAAAGTAAAATAAAGCTTTCCGGGTGTATTTTTTTTAGAACAGTTAAAATCTCGTTCTCGTACTCAAATCTAAAGCTCTCTATTCTTGCGACTTTCGTCGCTCAAGACGAAAGCCCTAAGAGAGTCTGCGCGGGAGGTTAGAGTTTGTTTTGTAATGTGCAGCCCATCGTCACTTACCCAGGAAACCAGCTGTTCTCTGCTGTTGGCCTTCCTCTTAGTCTGACGCTTGTGGCTCGGTAGAAAGTTAGCGTCTCATGCACCCAGCCATTCGGATTGACATATGCACCTAAGGGACCATCCAGTGACATGCTGTGTATTTAAAAAAAAGAAAGAAAAAAGACGCTCAAGAAATTGTTCTCTAATGATTGCCTACCTTCTTACAAAAAGTAGGATCCTAAAATTTAGTTCCATTTTTATAAGCATGCATGTTGCTCTTTTGTCATAGTAATTCACCATTTTCACATAGACCATAAAACACCTTGTTTACTCCGCAAAATTATGCATAACCGTTGTCTTCTTTTCCTCTTGGGACAACTGTGCTACCCAGGATAAATTGGAAACAATGGTTATGCGAACTTTTGAGGGGAGGTAAACAAGTGTTGTTTACCATTTACAAAACGTTTCCGGAAAATCCGGTTGGAAAGTAAATTGAGCACAACTTTAATTCTGGGTCGTTTCAACGGAACATTTCCGGGAGCAACAGAATCTCTGAAGAAAAGGTAGTCCTGTTTTTCTGGACGGGTTTGATGTTCCATTTCTTCAAAGCCATCTTTTATACCAGTTTCAGGCTTTCGCTGCCGTTTTTCGGCAAATGTAGCTGATTTGTACAAATGGTAAACGAGATTGTGTGACGACGTTGACCAGTCCTAAATTTTGGTTACCATTTTCCCAAACCGTGGATCGACCGGTTTGCCCATGCAAATAATAAACAACAGCTCACTTCCGAAAAGAGAGATAGCCTAGGACCAAAACTAGGCGCGCGCGCATTTATGGGATTATCTGGGGGACGCGCATGTAAACAAACATGGCGGAAAGCGACGTGGAATGTTTCAGCGGGGTTAAAACAGCTCAAAATAGCAAAACGGAAGGTGGAATTGACAGGGAAAAAAACATGAAAATGTGAAGCTGAAGGAAGAAGATGTGCCTGGGACAAGTTTACCTCGAGAAAAACGAGAAGAATGCACCGTGAAACAGCTTCAGAGATGGTTTCTTTGCCCTGGAGCCAAAACCACCGGAAAGAAAACGCAGCTGGATACGTCTCGCCTTTGGTATTCTATAAAATGCCAGACCAGGGGAGTTCCTGAAGTTGTGCAGAAAGGCACACAACAACTGCATGTCTCGTCATATATTCGAGATGGCTGCTCGACTTGTCTCCCCAAACAATCCCATAAATGTGCGCGCGCTTAGTTTGGGTCCCAGGCTATCACTCTTTTACCCATAATGCAATTTGTTTTACCCACAAAGTTTAGCATAAGACTTGTTTTCAATTTCTCTTGGACTAATGATCGTCCCCTGAGAAATTGAAAACAATTCTTATCCAAGATTTTGAGGGAAAAACAAATTGCATTGTGGGAAACATGAAAGTCGCAGATTATGGTCTTTGTGAAAAAGGTGAATTTAAGTTCATTGAAAGAAACACCAAATTAAGTTCATAAAAGATACTTGTAAAACTGGTTAAGGCACCTACTGACTGAGGCCTTTTTTATCGTTTAAATCGTCTCTTGTTGTTCTTCGTTCGTGGCAATCATGTGACACGCTTTGCTATTCTTCTTTGCATTGACGCACTTTAAACGGAGGGATTTATCGATTAACAGAGAAATGGAAAACAGTTTACGGTAAACGAAAAATTCTAGGTCGTGCCATTTGACCAAAATTCCCGTTGCTTGTCGATTTCAGCAGACACATGACAGTTTCACCCATAAGAATTATCTTAAGACAGTTTTTATCTGCTCATTACCCGTTAATTTATGAAATTGTCAACTAGACTCGGACGTGTACCGTTTGCCGTAGACGCGATTCTAAATCTTTCTAATAACCACAGCAAAACACGCATAGCGACCTCCTAATTACAGAAAAGTATGTGCCGTTTCTGGCCTTGTTTCACAGTCGTTTTGGTCTACAAGCGAAAACAGACTTTCTCTTACGTTATTTATTATACCTGGAAGAAATACCGCATTCGATACATCAACAGGAGCCTATTGCCTTATGCTCCTGACATTAATGGTTACAAATGACCATTTGTATTAATAAGCGTCTTACCTGAACAAATCGTTTTTGTCCACTACCTTAGTTTCACATTCACGGCAACATAGGACACTGCACTGTTAAAAACAACATAAGAATTAGAGAGTTAAGACCTTGCTATGCCAGGAAAGTTTTCTAACAAATGGTGCCACATTTTTAATGCGCCAATGGGAGAAAATTTGCACCAGAACGGTGCAAGATGAACATGTTTCACGACGTTCACGTTTCAGAGTTCACCGCGAAAAGTAGACTGCTCACAGTTCTCTATTTTTCGGTAAAATCGTGGAGATTGAGAGCTCACCGTTACGAAGGGCGGCTATCTTTGTTTCAAATGTACCAAAGGGGCGGACGCTGGGGTTCATAGCGGGGGGGAAGAGAGGACAGAAAAAAAACGCGCTCCAGGCAACGATTTTACGGATAACAAGAGGACTGTGAACAGTGAACTCGAAAAGTAAACCTTGACTGTACTCCATGAAATGTTCTATACCTCGCGTTATCACGTGTAAACAAAAAATGTGTTCTCTGCGCGCAAAAAAGAACGCGTTTTCGCAACTGTGTTTGCTGACCCTGGTTTTCGTGTAATCGTCGCGATCATCCTGACGCGATGCGGGTTTGGGGCGATCGCAATCGTCCGGATAGAACCAGCCTGCATGGCCACAGTTTGAAAGGAGAGGGGGCGGGAGAATTTAGGTACGAGGAAACGGGATGGACACGCGCGTCCATCACGTTCTCGCGCGCCTCAATCGCATGGATAGTTCCGATCGTCCCAACCACTCCGGCCTCCGCGGCTTCTTCCTCGCCCCCCGCCTAAAAATCGATACGATTGCGACGATCCGGAGAATTTTCAGTATGCAAACCAGTTATAACTTTCACTGTGTTGATTACCTTTCTCACAATCTCTAGTTCTCTTCGCAGTCTCTGGGTGGGACAATTTATGCTCAGTATTTGAAGTCGTAGGTTATCGTCCAGAGGCATATTGGCTGCCACCCAAAACGAGAAATCTAAAGGTAAAAAAAACGTCAATTTGCCGTGAAATGAAGTAGTAAAACATTGTTTGATATGCCCCGTCAAAATGAATCCGGATATTTTTTAAACTGCATATTTTTTAAAAGGACTCGGCCTTCGGTCCACGCGAAACCAGTGAATCCGCTCACCGAAACCGCATGTTTTTGAAACCGCTATCTAGAGTTGTTATTAAGCGTCGTCCACACGATTCCGCGTAAATAAATAAGCAGGTTCAAAAATGCCCAGACTCGTGTGGACCGGGCCCGATTTAACAAGCGCACTGAATGAAACTCTCAAAGACACTACAGTCATACTAAATTCACGATAAGCTTTATGATTTCTGTGGAGGCGTGAGTAATCGTGCGGTTAACACCTCGAACTCCGGATCTGGAGGTCCAGGGTTCAAGCCTCACCCGTCGCGTTGTTTCCTTAGACAAGAAAATTCCAGGTTTACTGGCCACTTTGTCTCTCTTCACCCAGGTGTATAAATGGGTACCGGCGGCATACTGCTGGGGGGTAACCCCGCGATGGACTAGCATCCCGTCCAGGGGGCAGTAGCAATACTCCTTGGCATGCTTCATGCTAAGGAAACCGGGAGAAGCTCCTGCCGTTTGGGCCTTTGGCTCATGTGCGCCTTTACTTTTTTTTAGCTTTATGATTTCTAACAGTAATTTTAATTTTAATAGTCAAAACGTCTTTAATTTTCCTTTCCAAAGTACGTGAGTGCAGCCATACCTACCTGTTGGCGCTTTAGGGACATTGTCAATCCGTAGAGTTTCACTCCAACTTTTTAGTTCCTTCTTTATTAACTCCATTAACACAAACTGAAAGATAATCAATAGAGTAGAAACTTTCTTGAAAGCTATTTACAAATAATTTTGACAAAAGTTAGGACTCTTTTAAATTTTGTAGATATTTCTACAATAGGGTAAGAATTATAGAGAATATATCTAATTACAAAGCAATGTCGACAATACAAAATGAGTCGTATTTTTTCTGGAAGTACGGAAATATTTACAAAAAAGTGATAGAGAACAACATAAAGAAAATAGTGTTGCAGACGTTTAGTCTTTTCTGTGAAAACATTACATTCAATTTGTTTCGGTTTAATGTAGTTTTATCAGAAAACGCGTACCAGTTTAGACTAACTAGGCCCATAGTAGCTAAGGACAGAAAAAGTTTGCACCACTCTTCAGTCTAGCACAAAATATGCCATGTGCCTCATAGTGTAGACTATTAGCTTGAAACCTATTCAGCAGTGCTTTCATATGGCACTATTTGTTTTGAATGTAGTTCTAATCCTATGGTGTTACCATTCAAATGACACCTCTTCAGCAGTGCTTTCTCATGGTACTATTTGTTTTGTACATAGTTGCGACTTTAGGGTCTGTGTCCGTGAATGAAATCTTATGGGTTGAACACTCAAATTAAACTTCTTTAGCAGTGTTCTCACATGGTACTATTTAATGGAACTATTTACTTCAGTATGTACTTTCTAACTTTTGGGTCTGTCGTGAAATCTTATTGTGTGACCATAACAATCTAAAGTCTGAGACAACTTACGGGATTGTAGAGTTCATACACCCATCTTGGCCATGAACTTAGACTGATGGCTACCTACAGGTACATAATAAACAGCAACACTAATTACATGTAGCAGATAATATCTTTATTATTTAGACACTATTACAAAGAAAAGCATTATTTAACACTGTCTGACAGTCATCACCTCTTAGACATGATTATCAAATTAATCATAACTATAACAAAACTCTCAAATCTGTTTCGCTATCAACTGTCCTGATTTCAGCCTAACAGGACAGTACGTGTCATGCCTAAGAAATTGGACCATACGCACCATCACACACCCACCTAAATGGCATTTTTTTTTCACTGCTGGCAAAAATTCTTGGATTTTATTGTGTTTTGATTTACAAAAGCCAAACATATCACAAGTTTTGTAATAGTTATCATTAATTGGTAATTTAACAGAACTTCATGTCGTCCAATTCGGTCTCCCACAACATGGTCATCTGATTTTGTTAATCACTTGTATGGTTACAAACCGAATTGCACTCCACTCAGTCCTATTATGATATATTAATAGTGTGAGATTGAGAGCTACCACGTTGGACAAGGTGCATAAAATCTGAACATAAGTACCCAGGGTGTGTGGGGTGGGCATTAGAATTTCTTCAGAGCAGAGGGAGGGGAGGGTACTCTCTCCTGCTCCTGCTAGCTACATTGTGGCTTCCACCAAAAAAGAAGTTTTTCCTCTCCACCAATTTAACTCACTATAATATTTCTTCCAAGCTGTCAGCTTGCCCCTTGAGCAAAAGTGGTGCCCCAATGATTTTTGTCACAAAAAGTACAGCTGAAAGAATCTAACACTGCTGAAAAATGTCTTACATGTATCTCATTGCACATTAGATTAGATTCAAACTGAGTTTGAGATTAAAAACAAAACAGTTCTTGCAAAAAACCCTCTTGCTTCTCTTACTGCCTTGAATAAATTTGTCTCCTAACATGTGTAAATTTCTCTCACCTTCTGGTACTTAGTCTTTCCCAGCCTGTTTTTGCCCATAGAGACCTGGTACGGCTTTTCAAGGGCACCATCTGTGGTTGCCTGGCAACCAAATTTGTGATAACAGGACCAAAGTGAACCTTCAGGGTGAGAAAGAAGACTGATTTCTGGAAGGATGTGGACTGTTGCCTGTAGGATACTGGATAAAGAGGAGGCAAACAAAGCCTTAGAATGAATGATAGGCGAATCAACTAAACCCTAGGCTGGGACTTATAGCATCTCAGGCAATCAAATGCCTTACCTGAAGAACACTACTATCTACATCTCAAATGATTGACTATGACTTATTGACTTTTTATAGGGGAAATACCTGTAGCTGCCTGAGTAAACAGCTGGGTTATTTTGTTACGTCATCTCACTACTATAATTTCCGCGTCAAACGATGTCTGAGTAATGAGCGCAGAAATTCCACACCCTGATGACCTGTCACTACCCAGATTTGGGTACTTTTCTTCTGATTGGTTGAAAATTTGCTTCATCCAATCAGAAGCACTACACACCCAGATCTGAGATCATTTTGCAGGGAAAACCAGTTGTGGCATTGCAAAATGTTAGATGTATTCTCAGGATAGGGTAGTCACTGGTAATCCACTACTTTACATTGCAGCCCATGATTAAGGGAAGCAACAAACAATAATACAAATGTATATTAATACTGAAATGAACTAATTTAACACGTAAGAATTTCAACCGGCCAGAAGCAAAGAAGTTGGCTACTTTCTAGCATATGGGACTAGCTATGACAAATCCAGCTACATTGTAGCAGTCAGAGTGGGACATGAACTCAGGCATTCTGGATTGCAAGTCCAATTCTCTAACCACTCGACTACATTGCCTCTTTCAAATATCTTGAGACAAATGATATTCTTCAATAATTATTACAAAGAACAACCCTAACCTTGTTCTAAGAATAAATTGTTACAGTATAAAAACTTGTTCTATAACTACTGAGCACTCTGATCTTTTGATGATACTCACCCATCAACTTGTCTGCGTAGTTCTTTAATTCTAAATCTTTGCCGGCCCATAGCTTTAATTCTTAGCGTGCATATCCCAGCATCAGCTTCTTCTTTCATGGAGAAAATCTCAACTGTTGTTCCAATGGCTGCTAACAACTGGTTTTGACTGCTACCATATCTATGGAAATTAACATAATTTTACATGTAATGGCAAGCAGATTTCAATAACCACTTTTAATTTTGCAACAGAACTGTTTTAAAACATCAAAATAGTCAAAAATGGCCCAGTTCAGATGCCAACGTTTTGGTGAGCCAAACTTAATTCAAAGTTTGGACCAGCCAAAAGTGACAGATGTCAAGTACCTGTTTGGGCCCTGTGCAAAAACGTCCTCATCACCAAGGAAATGAGTGGGCCAGGCGGGGACATTATTAGATGGCACCCAAAGTCATAGTACATTATTTTAACAGCAACACAATTTGAAGCAAGAATTAGTGAAATTGCCAAATAAATATGTTTTTTTGCCTATAGGGACATGCCAAGTTACGTATAAGTCAAATTCCTGGCCAGCCAGGTATTTGAAGAATGAACAAGTTGCTCAAAGCTGTTACAACTCACGTACAGTTCTTTATTGATTCAGAGACCAATCTTTTCATTTCAAGGTATTAGTTTTGGCTTGTAAAAAGGTCAGAGACTGAACCAGGCCTAGCAAACCCCTTACCTGGCATTCACTAAGCCAAAGGTCCTGTCCTTTTCTACAATATTCTTCATCATGGCAACTGACTGAAAAAAAAAAACAAGATCATGAAGTAAACAGCCCGGCTTTAAACAATAGATTTGGTTGTCAGTTTCTATAAAGCAAGTTGTGATGCTGCAACAGACAGGAAGTGAAACAAATGATTTGGGATTATTATCTGAGTTGGTACCAAATGCAACTGCTGCATAGATACATGTAGATAAATAGATATCTGTAGACTGTTTATTATAATTCACAGTTTGCAGTCCAAGGACTGAATTACTAGTAAAATGTTTCAAAAAAGATGTATATATAACATCAATCTCTGTTACCTGGGGCTGGAACAAATGAAGAGGCAATGTTTGCCCAGGGACAAGGACCAAACCCGGTAACATCAGCAGTGGAAGAACAATGTTAGAACCAGGCTCATAGTATGTACGACCACTGAACTCGTCCATCTCCTCACCAAGATACTGCAATCACATTAATACCTTTTTCAGTTTTTTTAAGGTACTTATCCAGGTAAAACCCAGAGACTGTTAACTCTGGGATATGGTTAGAAAAGTTTACTATAGAGCTTGCGAAGATCTTTAGCCCATGTATGAATCTCACAAACTCATGTAAAGTAATGTGAAAAAATAATATATATAATTTTTCCACTCCATAATCTTCCAATGAGGAACTCCTGGGGTGGTGGGGAGCTACTTGGGTTAATTTTTGCTGGGTATGTGCCGCTGGCCTCTCAGAACCCCTACTCTATTATAGTCTATTCTGTGGCAACATTATAGACCCCATCTTAGTCACTCTTCGGGAAAAAAGTAATTTTTGCAGTCCCACCTTAGTCAGAGGCCCTGCCAGCAGGGCTGCAAATAACGGACAGCAGGTTGCCGGTCATGATGACCGGCCAAATGTTTTGTAGCCCGGACAAACCCCGATTCTGGCCGGTCAAATAATGAATACTAATAATTTTTTTTTTTTGCCTAAGGAATATCCAATTATGTTGGCAATAGATCGTTATTACTACACTGACGTTCACATTTTTGACAGCAAATTGGTGAAAAATGCATTCGCACGTTGTAGAGTTCCTTTCCGCGGTTTTCACGCGTTTTATTGTTTAATACGTTCTACCTAGAGGATCATTGCACGGCGGTGTCTGAAGTCTCTAGAGGTAAAAAGTGAAGCGTAAATCCTTTTCAAACTCCCAAGGTTCAGGAAACGGAATACACATACAATTCAGAAAACTTTAGAAATTACGAAAAAAAAAAAAAAAATTGTGTTATTTTACAAAATCTGCACACGCTTGTTTTTACGTTGATGTTCGAAATGAACATCGGTGAAACTTGATCTTTTTCCTTGCCTGGCACGTGATCGAAAGTCACTTCCTCAAAGAAGAATCGTCGCTGATATTTTCGCAAAAAGTTGATTTGCATTGGCGAAAGTTTGTTCCACAAACAGCGTGTTGATGATCAGAAGTCAATAAATAAATTTGGGTCATCGCGCAACATTTTATCGCGAAGGGCTCAAATGTCAACAGAAATTTGCATAAAGTTGTTTACAAGAACGAGGATCTAGCGTCGCGATAGAGCGGCGACCTTCCCTCTTGAGTAGCTTAAATTTTTATCAGACCATTCTGGAATCGAGTCTGCAAACGAGATTCATGTTCGACAGAAAATAAATTATTATTAATCGATGCGCCGAACATTTATTCCCGGAGAAACACAGGGCGACCTGTTGAGAATTGCGATCGATTTGCCTGAATTCCTTCAATTCCCAAAGAAGGTCACATTGCTGATTACAGCACAGCCGAAAGTACAGTACGACTTGCAACGTTATGTTACTTTCCAACTCAGTTTGTTATTCACTTTGTTGCGTTAGATTACGACATGACGCGACATGAAATTAATTTATTGCGGCGTTCTTTTTCTTAGAAGGGTTTAGTGCAAAGCAGCAAAAAAACGCCAAAGAAAAAAGAAATCATTGCAGCGTTATAGAGCATTAGCGACAACTGTATGGAAAATAAAGTGTTTGTATCCAAAAGTGACCGGTCAAAATGACCGGCAAGACCGGAGTTTGACCGGTCAAGTCCGCGATCAGGCCGGACATTGTCCGTTGACCGGCCGTTATTTGCAGCCCTGTGCCAGGGTAAATTCCGACAAGCAACATGACTAAAAAAGTAGCGACAGGGCGTTAAGTGAAATCGCGACAAGAGACACCCCCCCTCGGCCAAATTGCAACTGTGATGGCAAAGCTAGGAATAAGCAAAAAAGAACAGTGGTTTGGAAGTAATTTATCACCAGTCTGAATGCCAAGAAGAAGTAATTTTCGTCAATTCTCCTTGCACTTCAAAGAACGCCTCTTGTCAGTGGAGCTTCAGTGGATCCTACTGTGAATTGTGTTAATTTTGAATGGCGATAAATGGGTGTTTTATTCGCAAAATGTACTTATGTAAACTGAGAAATAGCAGAACTGTATATGGTTTCTTCTCATTTCATCACTATCCCCCTTTTCTAAAATTTTGACAAAGACAAAGCATTTTGGTTCAATTTCTGACAGCAACCTGAAGCATTTATAAACACCGACACGAGACCCTTTAAAATTCAGACAAGCGACATGGGACCCCTCCCCCCCCCCTCCTGGCAGGGCCTCTTAGTCACTTTCTGTTTATGTATCTACCTTATAAAGCCTTCTCACTTGGTTGTCCTCAAATGAACTGACACATTTGTTAAACTTAATGTGATGTATATCTTTCTATTTTAAATCCCTAAATACCTGAATTTTCTGACCTCCAAAATCCTGAAAATGTGCGACCCTATTCTAGAAACTCTTACAAGAATACAACACCATAATAGTCAACCCAGTCATGAAAACTCTCTGACACCTCTATAAGACGGGCACCCCCATCCAGTGGCACATTCTTTACCGATTCTATAAGATGGACATCTCTAAGATGGACACTCTTCCCCCTCCGGGGAAGAACTGAAGTAGAGAACCAAGGTGAAGCTACTGAAGTAACATCAACTGAATTAAATCAAACTGGACAACTAGCAATTATGACCCTTTATTCATCATTTACATATTTCTGACTAAATAAAAGGAACTCTGTCCAATACCTGATGCTGTGTAGGAAGAGCTGGATCAAAATTAATGGCATTATGTTGCTCTTCATCACTTTCCTGAACAATTTCAGCTGTTAAAAGAAAAGAACCAAGAGAAGTAACAGGTAAATTGCAGTTTGACATGACACAGTAACTGCAGTGCTATAGTGAACTGCCAATTTACCTATGACTGTTATATTATGTTGTTTGATAGACCGTGCAAAGAGGCATGCATGCAATTTAGGTGAATTATTTACTAATCATTCCTTACAATCTAAAATGGGAAAAGTACACTCTCTTCATTCTGCCAATGCAGAAAAGGTACGGTTGAAGCTCTTCAAGGAGATCGATGTGGCTAGAAATGCCAAAACTAGATAAAATGCCATGCTCACTGACAGCTGATTTTTTAAAAATTACAGCTTACTTTGATACAACCCTATCTAACGCCCGTCAGACCATTTCCTTAACAGCCCTACGTTACCTGCTGAGTCACTGTTATCTGATTCTGAGTCACCCGGAAGAAAGATCTCCAGTTCTTCAAGAAATCCATTCTGTACATCAACATCTTCATCCGAAGAGTCGTCCGCCATGTTTGTTTTGATGGTAACACGACAGCAAAGAGTTCTGGGTAAGAAAGCAGCCGGGGGAAGTGATACGTCATGCTTCGTAATTGACCAATCATAGAACGTTTCGTATGCTGTAAGCGGCAAGGGACGTTTCATCAACAAACTTTGGATAGGAAAAGTTCAGTTAGTCCTGTTTCCGCGTGCTTAAAAGTGACGAACTGTTGATTTGTGGATTGCAAGCTTGTAATAGTTATTTCGGATTCAACAGGACGATGAATTGTGACAATCTTATGTTGCTTGTCACCGCAACATTCAGCATTCTCGCCAGTCTTGACTTGGCTCTTGCGAAAGACTATTACAAGATTTTAGGTGTACCAAGAGATGCTAGTGACAGACAGATCAAGAAAGCTTTTAGAAAGCTTGCCGTGAAATACCATCCTGATAAAAATAAGCAAAAAGATGCAGAGGCCAAATTTCGCGAGATAGCGGAAGGTAGGTAACACCTCTCGGAAATTAGAAGTGTTTTCAATTTTGTTTAAGAATTGTCAAATTGAAACAAACATAAGATTATTCCTCTATCATACGAGGCCGTTACCCGTTACTTTATCTTGAGAAATAGTTTTTCCTCGGTAAAACCCAAGACTTCTCATTCGTGATAGACGTCGATACCTCAAACCTTCCAACATAAATTAGATGTGTATAAATATTAGAAGAAAACAGCATGGGACCAGTTCCTTCTGTTAAAGCTTGGTGGTCATTTACAAGAATTGAATATCTTTTCATACATGTACATATGAATTGTGTTTGCTTTTTATTTAAGCTCATGTTTGTTGGACATAAACTCGTTTCCAATAATTCACTGAAAGGTTTGAATAGATTTTCTGCGTAGAAGATGTCTAATTGTCAGGCCATGAATTGTTTTTATTACAAGGTGCTCTTGGATTGCATAACAATATCTTTGGAAATAATTTTCTTTTCACTTTGGATTTGAAATCCAGGCTTGTGACACTTGAATCACAAATGTTCAACTGGAGGTGTTTTCTGCTTCAATTTAATAAGTCATGTGATTTAACGCTTTTAATAGCAAAGTGATGACTCATTGAAGTGATCAGTTTTTCCGAAGATTACATTACAAATAAGTTTACATACTTGTACATAGCAACAGCTCACTTTACATTACAATATACAAATTTTACATGTGTATAGAAGTGCTGTTTCTTAAGCAAATGCAAGTGTGAATTAAGCCTTTTTTTTAACCAATGACAATATTAAAAAGGGAAAACTGAAAATGAACTTGCACTGACCACACGTACATTGATTGATAGGCCGCCTTGGCCCTCTGCCCCTACTCTGAATTCTTGGGAATGTTGGATCAATTTTACCTTCCTGATTCACTTTCTGGCTCACACATAACTGAGGTGAGCTCAGAGGCACTTACTTAAGAAATGTACAGTCACGCGGAGCGTAGGGGTTTTTGGCAAAGTGTACAAAACTAAAATTTGCAACTGTGTAGTGCTCGTATGTAAACTGTGCACATTCAAGGAAAAATTTCACTACACACAAATGGACATTATTTTGGTCCTAATTTTTCAGTTTGTTAGAAGATTTCCCTGGCCCTTGACAATTTTTTTTGACGTCAAAATAATTTATGCTGTTTTCAAAGCACTTATATTTGTCACTCTAGTAATCTTTCAAATGATGAATAATTATTACACATCAGAGAGCAGAGTAGTGTCTGTAAATGCAGTTTAGTGACAGTATACAGTAATAGACCAGTATGTTAATTTGGTGAAAAATGTTGCAACCCAGCAGTGCCCCTTTTGCTTATATGCTGGAGTGTACAGTGTAGTGCTTGCTTGGACAATTTCTTCAATAATAAATGGATATTACAGTTAGTTTATACAGACACTTTGGTAAATGTGTCAGTTTGTAGGGGAGAGATATTGAATTTTTCATCTGAGTTGATTATGTTGACTTGGCTACTGTATAGAGACTCAGAAGCTGTTGTTCTGCCCTCAAAACAAGTCAAACATGTGGGGTGTGTGTAGCAAAGAGGAGGAGAGCTTTAGACTTGATTATAGGCTACTGATTAACTTTTGTCGGTCTATTTGAGGGGGCAGTATTTTATTTGAAGAAAAAGAGTGGCTCAGCGGGTGATTAAACACAGCTGGTCATATAATAATCCCTCTCTTTAAAGCATAATAATAATCCTTGCCAAACCTTTTACAAAACTAGCGGTAAACCTTTTACTGGACTACCTTAAAATGCTGTCCATTAGATGCCTACATGGGGAATTTTACCCACTTGAAAGCGTGGACAAATAATAATATCAAATGGCCAAAATTCAAAGTTAAAATAAAATCTTAAATAAAAGAAATATGCCAAAAAATTACTGTTGAAATGTGAAAGCAGTTCGTTCAAGTGATTGGCATGGTTACCACGTGAGTTCAACAAAAAGCTCAAACATTAAATTGACAATAATAAAAAATTAAAAATAATAAAAGTTTAGACAGAGTGATCTGAAAGTAATGGCGTGTGTAAGAAGTTTCAGTGGTTGCATGATAGAATGTTGTGCATGGACATAGCCTGACATAGAGATTTCAGGTGATGTTAAGGAGACAATTCGCAATGACGATTTTTAGTTCAACAAAGCATTGGGACATTGTTTCAAATAGTTCTAACATTGCAGCACTGCTGTGCACTAAAAATTGTTGTTGTGAATCATCTGGTGTACATCTTTAAGGTGTGTTTACCAGTCAGGGTCAAATACCCCCCCAAGCCTGTGCTGTAGCATAAATTATGCATTGCCGGTGGTCCCCTGTGCATAATCTTTGCTCCTGTGACAGTGTGACTAGAAAATCTAGATAATCAATTTTTTTAGAGCATAACCTTGTTCCAGAAAGAACTAGTAGCACTTAATTCAACTCTAATGACAGCACTCTTCAACTCTTTCAGCTTATGAAGTTCTGTCAGATGAAAAAAAGAGAAGGCAATATGATCAGTTTGGATCGGAAGGAATGAACGATGATGGATTCAATTTCCATTCACAAGGTTTCCGAAGCTTCGATGACATATTCAAAGATTTTGACTTTGGAAGTGGAAATGGACATGGAAAAGAATGGAAGTTTTCTTTTGGTGGTGGCGGAGGTGGATTTGATGATTTCTTTGATGACGATGATGAAGAAGAAGATGATGACTTTTTCGGAGGATTTAAATTTGGTGGATTTGGGGACTCATTTTTCAGTGATGGAAGTTTTCACACAACTAGTCATAGAGAAGATGTATTTACAAATGACGATGGAGAAAGAATGCACAGAAATGTCAGACATACAGCATTTAGAGAATCAAGTAAGTGTGGCTGTAAGGGTATGTTACTTCAACCTTATCATGATAAAATTCTGGATTATCCTGGAATAGCCTTGTTAAAAAGAAACATTTTTTTCTATTTTCAGAACAGCAATCCATATTTTGTGTAGTGTGAAGTGAGTGATGTTGGGTCTTGGGACACTAAAATGGACTTAAGTCTTTAACTTTTGACACTAAAACACAGGCCTGGACTTAAAAGGGTCACAGATGACACCTGAAGTCCATCACATAACAGAGGTGGTTCCTCCCAAGGAAAGTCTGCAATATTTGTGTCACCCAAGTCATTTAGGGTTGTTGTAACTTTATGTGTTTGATTTTATGCACTGTTCATGAAAACTGCTCCTTGCTCTCATTCTTTCTATGGCATTTAGAGTAAGAGATATTGAAACCTGCTCCTCCCAGTGACAGTCAGTGACGGTCCATGGGTGAGAGGGAACCTGTTGAAAGTGCTCCCTAGTTTTTGAGTTTTATAGCTGGTTACTTTACACTGATCATCCTCTGTTTCTTTCTTCGCAGGTGGAGGCAGAACGTGTCGGACTGTTACAAGAAAAGTGGGAAATATGGTCACAACATTCACTGAATGTACTTAGGCTTTTTGTAGTTATAAGGGGTGAAGAGGGCAGTAACTTCCATTTAGTCAGTGTACTTCTCAGGTTTGGTGCAATCAAGTTCTCCCTAAGGGCAGTGTCAAATGTCAAACTTTTCTTGGGACAAACCTAATGTTAATACCAAGAACATACTAAACAAATTAATCGGCTATAACTTTTGAAATGATGTCAAAATGTTCAAAACTCAGTTAAACAGCAAGTAGTGCATGTTAACATAATTGCTGAGACCCATGAATTTCCAAATTCTGTTTTCCCCCTGAGAGTGGTTTGTCAGGCAGAAGAGAAGAGTTTGATAGAATCTTACATGTACATGTATCTACAGTGTAGAAGGGTCATTACGAGGAACCGGTACATGTAGATGGAATAGTATGCAATGGACACTGCTGGCAGTTAAATGTGACCAACTTTTAGACTTAGATATATTTTTGTAAGGTGAAAAACATGTCACAGATCTCAACTAAGGATGCATTTCTTTGAAAAATTCCAAATTCGGTTTTTCAATTTTTTTTTCTTTTTTGCCGAAATCGGGAAATGGATTATTGAACTAAAGATTGCACATTCTGACTTGCATTTTATAAGCATTTATTTAGGATTTATGAACCACGCATTTTATGTGGTTTGAGTGTGAATGCAAAAAACTACATTGTAAGTTTGCAAAAACTCTGCTAAGAACGCCTGTGGCATTTCTGCTGGTACAGGAAATTAACGTTAAGTTATGTTAATTTCCAGTACCTTAATTTCATAGAGCTTCAATTTTCTGTAAGGTACATTATTGCCATGGTAAAAAAAATCCATTTTTGGATTTTCAGCTTGATAGATTCAACTTAGTGTATCAGAGAATAATAACATGTGATATTGAACTTGCCCAAGGAAATGCACTGTGTTATAAAAGGTGGTTAGGGAGTGTTGATTGGAGCATAAATGAATTATTAAAAACTATTTAGTGTATTTGAACATCACTGTATAGAAGCTGCAAATTGAAGACTAATATTAAGTTAGTTTGTACATATTTGTACATGTAATAAAACACAATATTTCTTTCTATCTTTTGTTGTCTTTTTGTGGCATTACAGAAGAGTGGTTTAATGTAGCATTTCCATTACTATGTTTTTTTTTGTTAATTTGGATTTGCCTTGCTATGTGATATAGACTGTATGTGATTGGTTAAGACACTTCCCCCACTTTGTTAACCCATGGATGATGACCAAACCTCGAAATAAGACCATCGACACTCTTTTGTAGCATTCAAATAATTTATTACAAGGATTTGTATGTAGAAAAAATGATTGTTTCTGTTGCGTGCGAATTTGAAAATCGGCTAACCCTTAAGTGATCATTTTTAATTCTCACAACCTTTGGTCTTGATAGGTAACTTCTGGGAATTAAAGGGTTGTAAGAGAGTTGACGGTAACATTTGAAGTAACTCTTCATGGATGTCTGATGCATGTAATGGAACTAAAATTCATTTTAGAATTGCACGCCAAAAAATTGTAATGATACCACTTAGTTTGCAGGAGCTGTATACAATTATTTACAGTCTGTGCCCTTTGAATAATTGTTTAAACAATCAACCTTGTTCCCAGCATTTTTCTTCATTCCACTCACTACAGTATAGGGGACGTACAGAAAAGAGACCCTGGAAATGAAGTTTTCTTGTCACATTCAGTAAAAGCAGTATTTTTCTTATTTGAAAATTAAACAGTTTTAATAGTTTAAAAAATAACAAGACAACAATAACAAGAAATATGTACAAATCACACGGACAGTTTTTTCTTTCTTTCAATGCAATATAAAATGTCTGAGCACTGTTTCACCATCAAGGACATTAGAGCGAGCACCAGTGGTTCTTTCTTAAAGCTCGAAAAAGAAATATTTTTAAATAGAAGGGGTTCGTGGAATAAGGCCCTAAGTGACTCTTGGAGTCAAAGGAGAATCTAGCTACTCATCAGAAACCATGCAGCTTTTTCCACTCCTTCAATATTTTTAAGTTATCTGCTTCTTCTGACCTTGAAAGAAACTTCAAAAAAAAAACCTATTAAAGGTGTTAGGACATAGGTGTGCCTAGGATACATGTAGTTGAGGGAAACGTTTCAGCTGCAAGATGCCAACTTCTTCACTTTTTTTCCAGTTGATGTAGCAATCAATATATATGCCAGGTTCTTGTTAGCTTGGTAGTGATCTTTTACTTGCCTCATCCAGCTCTTCCGAGTTGGGTAACCAGAATGCCTTTTTGACAAGATGTACAAATAATAATAATAAATAAAGTTGGCAAAACAATTAATATAAAATTTTAAACAGTACTGACAGTTAAAATTAGGGTGAAAATTAATTTCAGTTTTATAAAAGTTTATTGCAATCATCAACTGTAGGGGGTCAAAATATAAGGAAGGTTTAAATTCCAGTAGGGTCTTCCTGAAGCTACATGTACAAGTATGAATTAAAATGTGTGTGGTTACAAGATACTGGAATGATATTGTTGGATTTTTTTAATGAATGTACACATAAATGTTGCTCTTGTACCAAATTATGTTAGCAGAAAAAAAACCCTTGTTGCTGGTGCTGGCTGGCATTTAATTTTACAATTCTCTCTCAGTTATTTTAGATTCTCATTAGAGTATAATATATTATGGGTAGTTTAAATATTTTTTATTTTTATATTTTATAGGTAATTCCAATTATTTAATAAAAATTATAAATTGTGTCCCCAAATTAGTATGGGGTTGTCCCCAAGCTCTACAGCTCCAACACATTCATAAAGTTTTCTATACTATTCTATTCTTGAAATTTTAGTTTGAAGTCGGTTACAAAAAATAATTTCCCTATACATGACTTGTACATTGCCTGTACCTTAACATAACATCAGCCCATAATATTACTTGTACAAAAATAAGCCCTCAAAGACCTTTCCCAAATTCCGCTTCAGTGATCACTCACAAAGGTTAAAGGTTAAGGCTTGATAATTTCATTTGGACCAGAACTTTGTATTTTGTCAGCGACAGCTCGCAGTTACCTTCTATTAGCACAACTTTCTTTTTGGTGTGGTTTAAGCTTTTACAAAATCGTTCATGCACTGATATTTGCATAGGTTGACTTGTTTACATCCCTGAGCCAAGCCAACATATACGCAAAATGCCAGTGATGCAAACAGTTTCGGAAATGCTAAAAACCACGCCAGAAAGACACCTCTGCTAGAAAGATAGCCTTAGAAGTGGTACATTTGTTGAAGCACAAGACTATAAGAAAGGTCTACTGTAAATGAAACACTCGTGGATCAATTTCTCCTTGAAATATCAACAGTAACTACAGTATTTGTATGTACAGGAAGGCTTCTAAAACCAAGGAGAAAGCATGATACTCTGCCACATTCCTCCAAGGTGGACTTACCATGTTAGTGCAAGCAGATGCCAGCATCATGAACTTAGGGTTAAATCCAACACACTGAATAGGGCCTGGGTGGTTACCTTCTAATACAGTGAGTTTTTGACCACTATCTGAGCCCCACACATGAACACGCCCATCTTGAGACCCTGTTAATAGACACAACAGAGAGGCCGAGAAGTGTGACGTCATGTTACCATGGAAGCAAAATTTCTGGCTCACAACAAAGGAGAACTTAAGCAACGACGACGGTGACGGCAACAAGAATGGCAAAAAAGTAATAGAATTATATTATTAGCAAAACAACAACTTTTTTATGTGCATCAGGCTTTTTTGTACATTTCTTAGCCATCATTGCAAGACTGCGACAGGAAATTCCTAATTTCACGAGCCCACTTTTTGGAGTATACAACTCAAAAATTTTCTTTTTCTTTTTCTAACTTAGATACGGTCCTGTCGGATTCAAACCCAGAAACTTTCGCAAACATTTTAACAAATGAAATGAACTTGAATAAGATTAACGAAGTTGAAACAGTGCAAACTCATTTTTATAAGTGATGTGTTTGGTTTGTTGTCATCTGGAAATTTTGCTACCATGGCAATGGGACATTTATGTTTTATTCTGTTGGATTTTACATTGTGTACAAAACCTGGAGTATTTGAGAATTTTACATAAATTATAACTTGTTTGCCTCATTACTAGGAGTTAAAGGGTTAACTAAAGAACCCAGTAGCCTAGAATGTAGGGTTTCTTTTTATCTAGGTGGAAGAAATATGAAAGCTAGACTCACCCCCCCCCCCCTACCCTAAAAAAAAAAATCTAGTGCAAGCTTAAGATCCAGTTACATGTTTTCTCACTTTTTTTTAGATCTTTTTAGTTCTCAATATATAATCTAGACTAAAAATATCATAAAAAACCGTTACTGCCAATTATCTACAAAGTACATGTACCTGATAAGACATATTGCGCATCAGGAGAGAAACACACTTCAACTGGAGATGTTCTTGAAACAGAGTGTCCCTATAATATAGAAAGGTGACTGTACACATTAGAGGTTTCTACTGCTCATTCATATGAGCTCCTAAGGGTTCCGTCTTCAAACTTGTACATTTATTCATCAAAATTGGTGAGAAAAACAGCATGCCTCATTTTTTAACAGGTATAATTTTCTTCAGATCTACACTAAAGAAACACAAGGATAACGTTCCATTAGGATGATCCGTATCAGGATCAGTAATCCAAGATCACTTGGTTTGTAGCACATCAAGGGAACCAACGATCTTACCCTGGAGAAGGATTCATCGGTTCATTTGACTTGTTATGACCCAAGCGATCTCTGATCACTGATCTTCATCAGGATCATTGCAAAGGAACACACCCTAAAAAATATTATGAAAATGAAGAAATGATTGTCGCAGTGAACGCAATTTATGCAAATGCGTAAAGAAGCCTGAAAAAAATTCAGGACTTCAACGAGGTTTGAACCTGTGACCTCGCGATACCGGTGTGATGCTCTACCAACTGAGCTATGAAGCCACTGGCAAAGGGAGCAGGTCAATTCTGGGTTCATATCTTCCCGTGAAAGAAATGAGTGTTAATGATATATAAAATAAATCATATATGAACTGCGGAAATGAAATGAAAATAAAGAAATGATCGTCGCAGTGAATGCAATTTATGCAATTGCGTAAAGAAGCCTGAAAAGGACTTCAATGGGGTTTGAACCTGTGACCTCGCGATACCAGTGCGATGCTCTACCAACTGAGCTATGAAGCCACTGACGTTGGGAGCAGGTCAATTGTCTGTTTGTCAGATGTCTGACCTTAGGTGTCTGATATCAGAAGTCTGATGTCAGGTGTCTGATTTCAGAAGTCTGATGTCAGCCGTCCGTTGTCAGACGTCTGATGTCAGGTCTCTGATATCAGACGCCTTATTTCAAATGTCTGATTTCAGATGTGTGTTGTTAGACGTCTGATTTTAGGTGTGCGATATCCGACGTCTGATGTCAGGTGTCTGATTTCAGGTGTTTGATATCAGACGTCTGATGTCAGGTTCTGTTATCAGATGTCTGATGTCCAGTGTCTGTTGTCAGACGTCTGGTTTTAGATGTCTGATGTCAGACGTCTAATTTCAGATGCCAAATTTTAAATGTTTGAATCAGATGTAGGTTGTCAGACGTCTGATTTCAGATGTCAGATGTCAGACGTCTGAGATAAACTTGTTGCCCTCAAAACACAAACTTACAAATATGTAATATCTATACTAATAAAAACACCAGAAAACTATTTACAATGTCTAGGTATAAAAAGATTATGGAATAGATGTTAAATAAAAGGCTATTATTTACAATTAAAAATATATATTAAAATACGGCCTAAATATTAAAATGATGCTGATTTCAGACCTCTGATGTCAGATGTCTGACATCAAGTGTCTGATATCATATCAGACGTCTAATTTCAGACGTCTGATTTCAGATGTCTGTTGTCAGATGTCTGATTTCAGACATCTGTTGTGAGACGTCTGATGTCAGATGTCTGATATTAGGCGTCTGGTATCTGATGTCTCCTGTTGCGTGTCTGATTTCAGATGTCTGTTTTCGGACGTCTGATTTCAGGTGTCTGATATCAGACGTGTGATATCAGGTGTCTGATATTAGACGTCTGATGTCAGGTGTCTGATTTTCGACGTCTGCTTTCAGACATCTAATTTCAGGTGTTTGTTATCAGACGTCTGATATCAGGTGTCTGATATCAAACATCTGATGTCAGTGTCTGATTTCAGATGTCTGATATCAGATGTCTGATGCCACACGTCAGATGTCAGCTGTCTTATATCAGACAACTGATGTCAGGTGTTTGATATCAGACGTCTGATTTCAGACGTCAGGTGTCTTTTATCAGACGTCTGATGTTAGACATCTGATGTCAGGTGACCGTTTTCAGAAATCTGATGTCAGGTGTCTGTTATCAGACGTCTGAAGCCAGGTGTCTGTTATCAGACGTCTGAAGCCAGGTGTCTGTTATCAGACATGTGATATCCGACATCTGATGTCAGGTGTCTGCTATCAAACATCTGATGACAAGGGTCTGTTATCAGACGTCTGATGACAGGTGTCTGTTATCAGACGTCTGATGACAGTGTATGATATCAGACGTCTGATATCCGACGTCTGATGTCAGGTGTCTGTTATCAGACGTCCGATTTCAGGTGTCTGTTATCAGACGTCTGATGACAGGTGTCTGTTATCAGACGTCCGACATCAGACGTCTGATAACAGACACCTGTCATCAGACATCTGATAACAGACACCTGCCATCAGACGTCTGATAACAGACACCTGACATCTGATGTTTGACATCAGATGTCTGACAACAGAACCTGACATCAGAAGTCTGATATCAGACATCTGATACCAGACACCTGTCATAAGACGTCTGATATCAGACACCTGTCATCAGACGTCTGATAAAAGACACCTGATATCAGACATCTGATAACAGACACCTGTCATCAGACCTGTGATAACAGAACCTGACATCAGACGTCTCATAACATACACCTGACATCAGACGTCTGATAACAGACGCTTGTCATCAGATGTTTGATAACAGACACTCGAAATCAGACGTCTGATATCAGACGTCTCATAACAGACACCTGAAATCAGACGTCTGATAACAGACACTTCTCATAAGACATCTGATAACAGACACCTGATATCAGATGTCTGATAACAGACACCTGATAACGGACACCTGTCATCAGACGTCTGATAAAAGACACTTGTCATCGGACGTCCGATAACAGACACCTGACATCAGACGTCTGATAACAGACACCTGTCATCGGACATCTGATAACAGACACCTGACATCAGACGTCTGATAACGGACACCTGTCATCAGACATTGATAACAGATGCCTGACATCAGACATCTGATGTCAGGTGTCTGTGATCAGACATCTCATGACAGTTGTCTGTTAGCAGATGTCTTATGACAGGTGTCTGTTATCAGACATCTGATGTCAGGTGTCTTTTATCAGACATCTGATGACAGGTGTCTGTTATCAGACGTCTGATATCAGAAATCTGATGTCAGGTGTCTGTTATCAGATGTCTCATATCAGACATCTGATGGCAGGTGTCTGTTATCAGATGTGTGATGACAGGTGCCTGATATCAGACGTCTGATGTCAGATGTCTGATGTCAGGTTTTTGTTATCAGACATCTGATATCAGACATCTGGTGTCAGGTGTCCGTTATTAGACGTCTGATGTCAGACGACTGATGACAGGTGTCTGATATCAGGTGTCTGTTATCAGACATCTTATGTCAGGTGTCTGATTTCAGACATTTGATGTCAGACGTCTGTTGTCAGACGTCTGATTTCAGGTGTCTGATATCAGACGTCTGATGTCAGGTTTCTGTTATCGGACGTCTGATTTCAGATGTCTGATGACAGATGTCTGATATCAGGCTTCTTTACGCAGTGGCATAAATTGTGTTCACTGCGACAATCATTTCTTCATTTTCATTTCATTTCCGCAGTTCATATATGATTTATTTCAAATATTATTAACAAAAAATATTATTATACTAATAAATGCTAAAAAACCAATGATGGCCTTTTTCACCTTACTTACGGTAAATGTATGCAGCTGTGTGCCTTGAAATGCATCAATCAGATGAATGACACCTCCACTTGCAGACAGCAAGATCATTTTACCATCTGAACTAAATTTCACACCTGTCCACTCAATGTTAGGGTCATTTTGAATGTGGAAAGTTGAAAATGGACCCTGTGAAAATAGGTGAAAAAAAAAAAAGAAAACGCTTAGGCATGAGAGATACAGTTGACTCTCTCTAAGACGGACACCTTTGGGACCGGCACTAGTTGTCTGTCATAGAGAGATGTCCGTCTTATAGAAAGTCAAATAGAGGGAGCAAAGAAAGGCAGGGACCAATTCTTGGTGTCCATTTTACAGAGGTGTCCGTCTTATAGAGGTGTCCATTTAGAGAGAGTCAACTGTATTATTTGTACGTACTGACATTACATGTCTACGGAAAAGAAATAGAACACCACCACATTAGTGATGCAAATTTATTTTTCTCTATTTAGGGTGCGGAAATTAGATGATTAAGTATCTTATCCTTTCTTTTAGATCTGCCGTTTAAAAAAGTACACGCAGCTTGTGTGTAAAAGTAATAGGGGAAATTTCTCTACAATAAATATATGCATCTTGCATGTAACTAAGCTTCAAGTAATTGTTTTATAAAGAAGTTTAGGAGGGGTCAGCAGTTTGATTGCCAGGTATATTTCAAGAGGGGTCCATTGGCCAAGATGGGTAAAGCAGTTATATTGTAGAGTACAAATAATACATGTGAAACAATAATGCTAAATTATACAATTTTATGCTAATCCTATTGCTTTTTGTTTAAGCACCACTATTTTGTACAACTTAGTCATTTGTATTAGACAGAAATTCTGTTTGCACCCTAAACTTCATTGTTATTTCAAATTTTAGTGAATAACGAATCCAGACCTACAATGTACCGTAAAATTCCGAAAATAAGCCCTTCCATGTATAAGCCCCTCCAAATATAAGCCCCTCAAACGGGTAACGCAAAAAATTCTCTACTAAATTGCCCCTCCAAATGTAAGCCCCCTGGGGGGCTTGTACTTGGAAAATTACCCTCAAATACAAAGTAAAACAAAGCAAAAACGGTAAATTTACTTCCAACTATAAGGCCAGCCCAATCAATTTAGAAACGCAAATTTCCTTCTGTAAATAAGCCCCTCCAAATATAAGCCCCTCAAAAAGGGCCTTTGAAAAATATAAGCCTCGGGTCTTATTTTCGGAATTTTACGGTATCTGCTTTAATATTTGGTTTGGCTGAATTTTCTTTAAACAAAATGCTTGTCACTTCATTATCCTGAGAAAAACATGATAAAACAACAAGAAAGTAGTCCTTTTAGAACTGTAGGCAAAGAAATTGCATGGTTATTACATTTGTGTTCACAGTGAAGGCCACGATTTGTAAAAATCTATTACTTTCCTTCTATTTAACAAAACAACACTTTTATGAGTTAATAGTACATGTATGTTACTGCATGCATTCTAATAATGATTATTATTACTTTATAGAGCATATAACAGGAGATATAAGGTCGAGGGGTAATCACGTAAATATTGAATAAAGAAGGGGGGTCACTTGCTACATTGTATTTACATGGTCTGCAGGGGGGGGCCCTTACAGAAGTTTTGACCTTTCCAACATATTTTTCCCTCCCCCCTCTACATAAATAATGATCAGTCCCTAATTTCACAAAATGAACTTTGGAAAATTCTTGTGGAATTTTGACTTTGGCCTCTTCTTTGATTGAAACGGTTAATCTTGACTTCTTGAAATTAAATATTCTACCTTGTCAAAAGACCTCAAGTCATAAAGCTTCACCATTTCAGAGTCCACACCAGCAGCAAATATGAGGCCTTCAGGATCAAAAGCTGCCACAGGTCTACCATTAACATGCATTAGTCCCTATATAGAAGAAAAGACACAGAAAAAGTTCTTTACTGCGCTTTTCACAAACATGCGAATTCTGAAGTTCAAAGGCCAACTGACGATTGCATTTTTCGCTGCCGTCAATCATCTTAACGGACCTCTTAGGAAACAAAACTTTACTTTGACGGGTTCAAAAGGTCAAGGTTTGTGATTTGTGATTGGTGGATTTCAATCCGTTTTGTGTGTTTCTGTGTTTCAAGGTTTGTTGCTTGTAATTATGATTGACTGCAGCGAAAAACGCAATTGTGAAGGCGGCTTTTGAACTTTAGAGTTCACATGTTTGTGAAAAGAGTAGTAACAGTAGCTATAAAGAGGTAATTTGAGAGTTCACTAATGTATTAAAACTTGCAGCAAATACATGTAGGCAGCAACAGCTTAACTTACGAGAATGAAGCTTAGGTATTTACATGTAGCATTGAAACTACGGTGCCTTTTGTAGTTTTTTTTTTGTCTTCAAAACCAAAGTTGAAAGTTGGGGCTACTGCTTCTCCATGAATACAGCTTACACATGAGTGTTCACAGAAGTAATATTAGTGAATACTCCCTTTGGAGTGTCAGTATACCTGACAATTGGGTGATCGTAAGTCCCATAATCTTAGAGTTCGGTCTAGTGAACCTGACACAAACGTATCATCCATCGGTGACATATGAAGCGTCATAACCCTAAAAATAAAGAATTGGCGAAGGATTAAGATGAAAGTAAAAAGTTGTGTAACTTTCATTTAATATTCTTGCGGGTGTAACTTCAAACGGTCATCAACTGGCTTTTCTGTTTGTAATTGCTTTGAAAGATGCACTAAAAAAATACTCTGAGTTTAAAGAGGTGATGTATTACAAAGAGAATGCAATATCTACCAGAAATACCTACAACAAGCCATATATTTTCTGGGTTGCTCCTAGCCTCTATTTTGAAACATGGGTTAGTGAGAAACTTTTGATATGAAAATGAGAGAATTTGTTAAAAAATCAAAGCATTTTCCTCTAGGTGATCATTTTAGTAATTCTCATATCCCATCCTTTTGATTATGTGTTCATATTGTTAGAAGAAAATTGATGTTGGTCAATCTTAAAATTTAAAGGGTCAATATTGCTTGGATGGACTCACCTTTTGGTGTGACCTGTAAAATATCTCAAATATTTGTTGTCATGGAGTGAAAGATATCGAATGGTATCTGTTATATTAAAAGAAACAGACAAGCAAATGTGAGGCAGTTAAACTTTTGTGTGCCCTTGGTGGTATTTACAGTAACTGTAAATACCACCAAGGGTAAACAAAAGTTTAAACCCACTACACATAAATCCGCTATCTCAAATTAATGTCACCATCTGCTTTTAAAAAACGCCTTCCTTGAAAAGTCACGCAACTAAATAGGACACACAGCCAAAATAAACAAACTACAGGATTGCATAATAATGGGGGGCACAACCCTATCACAGGTAATTAGCGACATTTTATAGCATTATGTGCACAAATAACACAAAGCCTCACTTATTGCCCCACTACCATGGGGCAATAAGTGATACTATCTCCCCAGCACTGCCACCTGCTCTACAGTCGAATTCCCATGTGGGCCACTCGCAGGGCTGTCAATCCCGTGTCTTCAAATATTGAGAATTGACATGGAAGGGATGATAGATGATGTCTTAAAACATGGTACATGAGTTCATTTGCGCAAAAAATACTTGTTGACTCAGATCGCCACAAATTTGCCATGACACAAGACACGCAAAAAAGAAGTTGTTGCCATTGTTACATTTGAGCTGATTGGTTTACTTTTCATGAATCACATAATGATTATTATGTGATTTATTACAATGGCATGCAGGATTTTGTTAGGGAAACATTCAATGTTAACATTAAAATAGCTCAAAGAGTACAAAATATTTGAAATTTTGCCTGTGAACAGGGTATTTGAAATTTTATTGTCGGAAAGTCGAGTCTACAAAAGAAATGCCAAACTTCAGTGATTATCCAGGAGATTTCATACTCTAATCTGGAGACCAGGAGATATGGTTCAAAATCTGGCGTCTCCTAGATTATCCGGGAGAGTTGACAGCACTGCACTTGATCTTAATTCATGGGTCAACCCAAATTAGATATGTTCAAACATTGATCTCTTCATGTACTTACTTGATGGGATTAGGTTTGGTACATGAAAAGATGGGTGTTTGAACTGGGCATACATGTAAGGCCCAGTTAAGACCCCAAACTTTTCACGAGCCTAATCTAATTCGAATTTAGGCCAACCCAAATTATTTAGACCAGCTGAATTGATTCACACGCCGATCTTAATTCCAGCCGAACTAAATTCAAAAAACGGAAAAAATTCAAAAACTGAAAAATATTCATTTTAATTAAACATTTGGTTTGGAAAAAGTTTGGCATCTGTGTCAATTTCTAAAGTCAAACCAAATTCCGGCGGGATGTAGCCTGCGTGGCAATTTGAAAGGGAAGGAAAAGGGAGTTTTCATTCATTCAAAAAAAACGATTTCAGGAGACCATTGTTTTTCAATAATCCATTCAAATGTTAAAAATGAACAATCCAAAAGTCAATTTAGCCTTAATTCCATAATCCGATGTTGATTCAACATCACTGTTTTTGAAAAATTACACTTTTAAAAAGTTGACCTCATGAATTTTGTTTTTCCTTCATTCTTTAGAGCGATTAGAAACTGAAGGCATCTTTTCTGAAGTTCAAAATAAACAAACTGTTAAAAGACTGTACGCCAAAAGACCTGTCAATAATCAGTTGCAACAGACCTTTGGCCTGACCTTGTTCCCAAACACGACTGACTAGAAGAAACTGAGGAAAAATCATGCCTGTGTGCTTTTTCTTGCTGTCATTTGACCTCAATCCTCGGCCTTTGTCAGTTTCAACGACCAGATTATTGGTCTGTCTATTCTAGCTTTTATTTTGATTAAAGGGTTATAGAAAAAATATAAAGCGTAAACTTACTTTAATAAAAATATTGATTGCAAATTAGCCTTATTGAACACAACAGACAAGAATAAAGAACAGGTAGATTTTGTTCATAAACCAAATCAGCATTTGATTATTGAATCGAGGTACAATTTGACCGTTGGATTATTCATTTTATGAATGGATTATTGAATCAACAAACGAAATCATTTTTCCATTAATGAATTCATTAGTTTGTTAGCGACGGGAACGCTTCACCTGGTTTGACTGTAATGCATTTGGTTTGGTACATGAAAAGTTTGGCATCTGTGTCATAGCCGTTCTAAAGTCGATCCAAATTCGAAATTCTCGGCCGGGATGGGGTGGGAGAAACGGCTGAGCCGTTCCAAATTGAAACAGGCGATCCTAATTGATTGAGACGCCGAACTTTTCATGTACTTAAATCAATGTATTAGGTTCGGCTCATGAAAAGTTCGACTTCTGAACCGGGCCTACGGGATACATACTGCAAGGGGAAATTCTGCATCTGAATGAAGCTTAAATGATTTAAAAAACAAGCTTTTAGCTTACCATCAATCTTTGTGGAAGTGTGAATCACGGTGTTAGTTGCATGTGTGTACTGGATTTGCGCTACGCCATATTTCTTGCTGTACAGAGTTCGTTTCGGCCTGTAAAAACGTAATAACTTTTTTAAAAACATTAGTTTTCTCCAACTGTGTCTCCCTTGATAAGACACACCGTTTATAAACAGAAACATTTCTTAAACAACATTGCACTGTGACCGAACTACGAAAATGCTTACTTTCCCTCGACGCAATCGTAAATCACAATCGAATCATCGTCGCTGCTGGAAATAAGAGTCTCTCCATTCGGAGAGAAGTCTATGTGATTGACTCGATCACTGTTTTCTCGAAAGACTTTTGCCACTCGAAAGCTTCGAATGGTATTATCAACCAGCTTCATTTTGTCAAACAACAGCGGCCGCCATTTTCTTAAGAGGTTTGATTTGGTTTCTTTTCATGCCTTTTACATGAGTTATAGGGATACGACCAATGTTTCCGCTGTAATATTACAAAAGACCACATGCACACGTCGTCCACGTGATAGTTAACCCATTCGCCCCTGAACCGCCGGTAACCGCCCGTGCGGATCCAGGTCCTTTCTACCCTTTGTGACGTCATCAGTTTTAACGGTCAAGGACAACTTTCTTCACTAACTTATGCAGAATGAAGAGATCTCTCAAACCATACCAGAATGAGCACAATTCAGTCAAGGACACCGGAGAAAGAAGAAAAAAACCACGTGACATTGACCTGAAAATCTCCATGAAAATCTTGTTCCATTACCCACCTACCTTTCCTTTCACCTAATCATAAGATCCTAAAAGCTTTCCTCAAAACTCTTCCCACCAAAATGAAGCCTACTAAATGCCCAGCAAGAGAAAAAAAATTGAGGCAAGAAAAGCGAAAAAAGAAGGGAGGAGAGAAAGCGAAAAGTAAAAGTCAAGGCTGCTGTGTCACTTTTAAACCCAAAAAATCTCGAAATTTTGCTTTCTGCGTATGCCCGAATTTCGCAAGCTGATATTTTGCATCTGGATCAGAAGGCCGCGAAGTGTACGACCTGTAAACCGGTTTGTGGTAAGTTTTAGCTCTTTACAGCACGACAGTGACCAGAAAACCACTCGACTAGCTTCAAAACGCGTTTTTCGGCAAAATCTCCAGGAGCGAATGGATTAAAGCAAATTGTTTTCCCGGTGCATGCACCCTCCGCAAATTTTGTGTCTGGATTCTATACGCTAGCAAGAGAGAATTTCTCTCTTGATTAAAGTAAATTGGTAGCTAGTCTCTTGCATTTCACCAAAATTTGTGGGGATTACAACATGTAAGATTTTAAACGAGTAAAAACGACCCCTTACCCGTCCAACAAAAATATGTCAGCCAGTCTGTGAACAGGACGGAAGAACGCGTGAAGTGACGAGATACTTAGGGAGACTTGCGTTTATCGCTTTCTCTACTCAGTTTTGCTTTTGATATACCCTACATGCTTTTAGACCTTTTCGCCTCTCACCTTCACAAGCTGCAGTTCGGGTTTTACAAGGGCAAAGCCACTTAAAAGGACTCAGTTACTTCAAGTCATTCATAACGTGTGCAGGTTCTATCTTGACTTCGTTAAAGCCTTCGACAGGTTTCACAACAAACTGCTGCTCAAAAAGCTCCACCGATTCGGCATCTGCAGTTGCCCTGTTGACTTGGTTCGAAGACTATCTCACTGACCACGTCCAAAGGGTCACCGCTCTCGGAGTCAAAGGCCCGCCTCTCCCTGTGTCATCAGGCGTGCGGCAAGGATCAATACTTGGACCTCTCTTGTTCCTCATATATGTGACTGAATGACCTTCCGGTGACGTGGCGACCTCTGTTTCTCTCTTTGCCGATGACAAGAGGTGCTTCTGGCAAATGAAAAGCCTGGAGGATGGTGCTTGCCTACAACGTGACCTCGAACACATCAACGCATGATGTGATTTCTGCCCGGGGGTGGGGGGGTACTTTGGGAATTTCTGGGTGGGGATGTGCAGCTGGGACCCTGGAACCCATAACCTAAACCAGAGCTAGTTCAACTGAATTTTTCTACCCTACTGAGTAAACTCCCCAAATCCCCCCTATCCTAGAGTAGCTGTTTTCTAGAAACCACTGAGGTTACTAGCACAGTCTAGCCAAAACAAAACCTTATGCCATAGCCCCCAAAGCGAGGGAAAAGCGCCCTGGGGACGAGGTTGTGAGTTATCTAGGCCTCTTGGCGAAGTTTGTAAATAAATAAATAAATAAATAAATAAACTAGAAATACGTGTATAGATGAATAAACGCATCATACCCTAGCAATGCGCTGGTCATCAGCGGCAAAGTCTATGTTGCCGATATATGACGTCATTGGCGGACACCAAGCACATATTCAGAGAAAGAAAGATTCATTTATTTATTTATGGCGCATCGCATAATTAATCTGTGACACAAAAGCAAACAACACAGTACCTGAAACAAGCTATTAGACAGAGGAACTTGAGAAAAATTACAAAATGTTTGCTAACCCGGGTAGATATATATTTACTATCTCCTAAGAGCAAAGGACTTCAACAAAAGTAGACCACAAGAAGAAAAAACTTCGTCATTCTCGCAATCACGCCAGGGGCATACACCCAGCCATGGGCAGCCCTTCCTCACGGAAAAATAATAATAATAATAATAAATAAAATAAATAAAAATAAAAATACAGAGAATGTGGCATATGAAAACCGTAGTGATCCCTGTGGTTGTTAGTGCGCTTGGTACAGTGAAGAAGGGTATGGTAGAAAACATCAAGAAAGTATCAGAAAGAGCTAATATGACAGAGATTCAAAAGATCTGCATGCTGGGATCTGCACGAATCCTCAGAAAGGTGCTCAGTGTATGAACAGAATGATTGACTTGAGTGACTGACGCTCTAGGTGCATGGTTTGCGCCCGGCTGATGCACAAAAAGAACACCAGCAAAGACTGTGATAATAGAGATAATAATAATAATAATAATAATAATAATAATAATAATAATAATAATAATAATAATAATGGTTTATTAACAGTGTATCCACATAGTGGCTCTTCACCTGTTAAAAACTACAATATAAAAAAATGAAAAACTACAATATACTACAAAAAAAATTGAAATCTACAATATAAAAAGGAATAATATATCGGACTATAAAATGATATTGTATAAAAATGTAATAGAGATTAGTAATACACACTATTTACAAATGTTATTTAGCAAATAGGCATCAACTTCCCAACAGTATACTTTGAAATCGCTACAGTTTCTAATATTTGCCGGAAGGACATTAAGTAACTTGGCAGCAGAATCTTGAAAGGTGCGCCTCTCCATTGGTATAATTAATCTTGTTGCTACTCCTGACCGCAAAGATCGCAGATGTTTCACTGTATCTAGTGGTACGTAAGACAGCCAGCTGGAGGAGTGCAAAGCTTGAGTTTGAGAACGTGGAAATCTCTTCGCAGTCTTACTGGTAATCACCCTATCTTAACAATATCGTTTTAAATGTCATTTACATACTACCTACTCAGGACAAAACTAGCAGCTACCAGCTGGACACGTTGTATACGTTTTAGTTGAAATTCCGGCAAAGGGTAATAGACAGTGTCACAATAGTCAAGTTTTGCCCTCCACACATGTCCAATATACACAAATTGATACAATTCGTCAGAAACCGATGGTCCATTGGTACCAATGGTACGATTATTGGTACCAATAGTTAAATGATGTCATTCCAATGGTTCTGTTGGTGAATACGCATCACATTAAGGGGACTTAGATTATTTTCCCATGTGACCTGGCTGGGTACAGGGGGCTCATCAGATAATTGCAAAGTATTCAAAAAACTTTACTAGTACTAGTAAAAATATTTTTAGCGAAAAACTTTAACAGTGAAAGTTAAAGAAACAAATTTACTAAATTACATAATGTATACTAATACATGGAGAAATGGGAAAAAAGAAATGACTTTGGAAAGCGAGAAAATCAGGGCGATTCCGATGGTCCATTGGTGTCAGTGGAGACCATTCTTATCACCACTAACACCAGTGGAGTCTATTTGTGAGTATTGGACAACCCTCGTGCAAGCAACGTGCAAGAGCTGTTACGGAACAATACAAATAATAAGAAAACTTAAGAACTGAATAATAAGTCAAAACTGGTACTGGTGTGTATTTGGACATTATTCTAATGTCCCATCAAGATGCTGATGCAAATGGACCTCAAGAAGACTACAAGAAGTTTTACTTATTCTAATGTCCTATCTGAGATTGTAACAGCTGGTCGCTTCTTATGTAAACTATGTACATGTGACATCTGGCTTGTGCAGGTGGATAGCAACATCGGAATCTACACTGTTCATTCGAGCATGCAATTTATCAAGGAAACCTTTTTTTGTTGTCGCTCAAAGTACAACTTCGAAGCAACCGTTGCCGATGAAAAAGCCGTGACGGAAGTAACTTATAAACGATATACCGGCTTCTCAATTTTGATTGGCTGATAATATTGAACGAGTGTCTGATTCTCAATTGTTAGTCCCCCAAATTCTCCATTTTTAATTAGCCCACAAAATTGCGCCACTTGGAGTACCCGTGGTGGCGTCATGCTCAGTTGTCAGTCAACAAACAATTTCCTGATCTACACTAACGATGTACCGAAGGTGCAAACGCATTCTAAAACCGGGAACAGTTTTGCTTTTAAGCGGCAGCATGTTGATCGTGATTTTCTTCGGCACAACGGAGAAACGTACTGCGATAACGCCAAGCATGAAGCCAGACGATATCGTTTATAACAAAGTTGCAAACGCTTCAAACGGTGGGTTTTAAATTTAGTATCAGATTATGTGAAAACATTTTCCTCTTTCACAGCTTTATAATGCTTAGCGTACAGCATCACGGAAAAGAATGATTAGCAAGTTTCTCCAACTGTTTCTTCCGTTACGACTTCACTTTCAGTCTCCCAGAGTGCAGGAATCTTAAGGCCCTGAGTTCAAACGTCGATCCTTGTATATTTACCGAACTTAATACCTATTTACGTCGACCCAAATGATGATGATGATGATGATGACGAACTTTATCCTTGTGTCGATGTATTTACCTGACGCTAATTAAATGATACAAGTTCGATCGGTTCCGACGTCGCACTTTATTAGCCGGACTCAATGCATTTTCTCGATGTCCAATTGTCTAACAATGCGTTCAAGTGGAAATAAATTTTATTAATTTATACATTTTAGGTTCGGCAGGTGACCAGGCTGAAGTTGTCTGCCAATTCACTGCCAATTCGCCGGCTGCCAATTCGACAGGCTGAAGTTGTCTGCCAATTCGATTTAAGCGAGAAATATTCACATTATTTATAAGAACCAGTAAGAGAACTGTTACATACGCCTTAAACAAAGGGGGGAATTTCATATATCCCATGATGCTTCGCGCCAAATTTCTGTCTTCTCTCCGCGGTGGAAAGAGC